GACACCACTGGTGTTCGCCACAACTCGGATACTGAGCATAGGTGCTTCTCTGCTGCCTGAAGAGGCAGCAATTCAAGTCAGTGGATTTGGAGAAGCAACATTTGGAATGCTGTTGAGGGACATAAATGGAATTGAAGTAAATGCTATGGTTAAGGGATATAAATGGAATAGTTCAGTTCCTATTGCATTTGCCCACATGTTCTTTTGGTGGGACATTTTAGGATGCATTGAAGAGCTTCTTCTTTGGGATGTATCTTCCTCTGCTTACGCCTTCTGGTCTTTGAGCCTTTTTTTGTATGGGTAGATGTTCTAAGCTTATTGAGTTATCAGATGAAGAAAAATACCATTTTGCAGCTGTCAGGCGGTATCCAAGCTACTGCTTGCTTCCATCAGAATGTCATTTTGACACTGGCTTTTGACTTTTAAAGCCCATGGAGCACTTTGACCAGAGTCCGTGGATTTGGAGTCTACACTAACATCAGAATTAAACTTTTTAGCTTCCGAATTTTTCATGGTGCTATCTCATACATGAAAGGTTAGGATAAAGGTGTGCAGAATACAGCTTTGATAGCTTAATCTTTTGCTTTTATTTTGCAGTATATATATATACTATACAGTACTGATCTAGGTGTGCAGAATACAGCTTTGATAGCTTAATCTTTTGCTTTTATTTTGCCTATACAGTACTGATCCGAGCAGCTGTGTGCTTACAGTTACTGCACACCTGTAATGACAGCCTGAGGCACTAGAAATATTTTAGTGACTTAACAATAAAACCTGTTATCAGTGTTTGTCATACTTCAAAGTATTTGTCACTGTGCTTTGTTAAAGCAGTGAAAAATTCTGAGGAATGTATAATGTTTCATAATGCAGTAGACGCGGAAAAGGTAAAGATTAATTTAGAAGGATTTCTGCTGTCATAATAATACAGTTAACAGCCTGTCATTTTTCCTTAGTATTTCCTCTTACTAATTTCCTCTGAATAATGTATTCATTTAATAAGTTGTGTTCTTTAATATTTCTGTAATTAAATTCCTGTGGGGACTATTACCACTTGCTGAATTGTTTTAATATATGTTGTGAAACAGCAGCAATTAAGATTTTTTTTTAGTATCTTTGACAGATTATCAGAAAAGATACATGGTCTGCAGTTAAGAAAGGGAATCCTTTCAGCAGGTTAACAAAAAGTGTATTGAAGAATCTCCTGTCATTTCTAAGACTCTCCCATAAGCAATATCCTAAGTTAATTTTAATTACTGTAAGAAGAGTAAATATTTGATCATTGTTTTTCCCTGTGGGTGTGTCACTTGCTTTTCTGTATATAATTTTGTTTTCTTGAACTATTGGTTCAACTTTTACAAATTCATTTTGCAAGAAAGAAAAATCTTGGGTTTGTCCTTTTTTTTGAGGGGTGGGGAGGGAGCAGCTTTGCAAATATATGCGTGGTGAGGATGAAGATTTTGTGCTTACAGTAAATTACAGCTACAGGAGAATTTAAAACTACCCTGACTGCTTTGAGGTTGTATAACAGTGCCTCATTTTAGTGGTGATGTTAGTTTATACTAAAATCTTGCTGTAGATTTCACATTGAAAAAATAAATCTCCTTAAAGCATTTTTTTTTCTATAAAGGGATCTTTCTCTTTGTGAAGATATGGGAAAGTGAAATATTTGAAATGACATGCTGTGCCCTGTACTGGTTTATGCTAAAACTTTGGTCTGTTTCACAAAATGTACTACGCTTACTGAGGGAGCTGAAATTGCCTTGGAGACAACATGAGGAATCTGCTGTGCCATGAAAGAGCTGCCTGCAAAAGCCTGCTTTCTGTGACTGCTGGCTCCAACAATCCCAGGCTGTCGCTTTAGATCTACAAAACTGGACGATTTTAAATCATAGATGCTTCTATTTTAGTATTTTTGGGCAGAATGGCTTGCTACAGAAGAAAAGTATGACAGTCTGCTTTTGACTGCTACACTGTTTTTGTGCACTTGGGGTTTGTGTGCAAGAAAGACAAGTACAACAATGTTTTTGATGTGTTCTCAACAATTGATTACGTTTTCCACTTTTATGTATATATCCATTCACAAATGGTAGGGAGAGAGGGGGAAGACTGCTTGAATTGTAGAAATGGCCAAAGGATTATAAGTCCATTTCTGCTTCTGTTGATCTTAAAATACATTATGGATGAAATATATTCTAATCTTGCAGCAAAAAGATAGATTTCTGAAAGAAAAATCTGCATTTTTCAGAACCAAAAAATGCTGTCTGTGGCCAAATAAGCAGGTATTGCATCACTACCAAGAAGACTCTAACCTTTTGTTTCCATCCTCCAAAAGGAGTTTGAATCCCTTCAATCATCAGACCAGTTCTCAGCAGAACTAACAAGGCTGCTCAGGCCATTCAGATGGTCCAAGATTCACTGATTTTTAGTTTTTAGAGAGGGCTGTAACATTTCTGAAGTTGTTTAAAGTATACAGAGCTTAAGGTGAAGCCTTAATTAATGAGGATGGAAGCTCAGTGCATGAACTTCGATGTTGGAAATATTATTCTTTAAATTTTTTAAACAAATGTAGTTATCTGAAATGAGTCATTAAGTCAAAATATAGTAGAGTTTCTGAAAGTTGGAAGACATACAGTTTTTCTATTAAGAAAATAAAATAGTAAATTTTTTTTAATTTGCAAATGGAGTAACATTTACTACATTCAGGGAGGAATGTTGGTTCTTCTACTAAGATCAGCATGCCATTCCTTTTGTATTTAACTAGTTTTTCTGTGAAATAAAAGATCTAGGACTATTTTCTAGTTTATACAAAAATGATACAAGTCTGATTGTGGAAGAATGGTAAAATACTTTGAAGAATAAGGTCAAGAACTGTGTTGTGTACCTATTCTTTCAAAGTCTTCTCAACCTCCTGCCTTTGAGAGTTTGTAAATATTTTGTGAAGCTATTTGCTCTCTTCATTTACTATTACCATGGAATCACTTCATTGTTTGCTAACTCTTGACAAAATTAATCTCAGTTGCACAAAGGAGACAGTAAATTGAATATCCCTGCATATTCAAGAAGAGTATCAAAAATATTGAGGAGCTTCTTTAAATGTTACCCTTGGGCTATAACAGTCAAGACTAGAGGCCAGACTTTTATTTTTGCCCACTTGAAATGATGTAAATAGACTGGTTTTTTATAACGAAAGTGTTGGACAATTGTAATTAACAATATTAACTTGCTAATCAAGACAAGCCTACAACCCTGCTACTGATTATTTTTTCTGGCTGCTAGGCCATGGTTTTGGATCCAACTGATGTGGTTGCCAGCTGCTTCTGGCATGTGGAATGCTGGCACAAAAAGCTGCTGTGGTGTTGCAGAGTGCTGAAGGTTTATGTTTATCTTTGCGTACAGTAACTGCCTGCCTAGGAAGAATGTGTACCAATGTATGTAATTTAGCTTCCATCAAAATCCTGTTTTTTAAAGGATTTGGGGAAACACAACTTTTCAGCCTGTGGTGGTTACAGATTAGTGTGCTTTGTTAAATGTGTTGCAACCTCTGCGAGTTGAGTTGGAAGGACATTTTAAATCACGTATGTAGTATTTTTTTTCTGTGAAACATCAATGAAAAAGTTAATGCAGTCTTTCATTTTGGCAGAAATATTCAAGGACAAGAAATTGAGTTGGAAAGCAGAGAGATTAGTATTTGCTTGAGCAATGTCCATTTCCTAATTAGGGAGAAATAAGTGAAAAAAATCTAAGATCCAGGGGTATCTGGATCTGAATCCAGGTAGTATCACTACAGAAGTTTTTGAAACCTGCAGTGCAAAATTAGCATCTCTTCACAGCAACTTCTCTCTTTGCTGCTGTTAGCTTTTCCTTTCAGCTCAAGTTGGTGTGTGTATGCAGCATCTAATGCAAAGGATCTAAAGCTGTTCTTTGCATAAATACTTAACAGGCTTGTGAAGTGATGCATGGATTTGGCAATAAGCAACCCAACTGGGAGAAAACAAGAACATAAAAAATTTGTGAAGCTAAGGATTAGAGCTGACAGAACAAATTCTTGTTGAATAATTGTTTTACCTTATCACTAAAGCATTTCTGAAAGCCCAAGTTCAATAGCTAAGTAATTTGGCAATTTCTTTCAATGTCAGACCCTGTCAGATTAAGATGGTTTAGAGTTTCCAGAAAGTTTCTAGACTCCAATTTCAAGTTAGCATTCTGTCAGTTTGTACAGACATGATTTCCTTATCTTGAAGAAATAGTCAACAGTAATCAGGACCCAAGGGTGCAGAAATAATCAGGTTTTCAAATGCTAGTATTTGGGCTGAAGCTACAAAGAGGAGTCCTCTTCTGGTACATACAGTTGTTAGCTGTTGAGTCTTGTGCAGGTACATCTTTCTAGCAGAAGGAAAAACTAAAAGGCAGAAAATTAAAACACGATTGAAGTAAAGCTATAGCCTGAAATTTAAACTATTTTCAAAATTACTTTTATAATTGTTTAGGATTATTCTAAGGTTTGCTCTTTAGGCATTAATTTGGATTACATGTGAACTTACTTATCTTAAGTTATATCTTTTGTCTGTCTCCTTACTTGAAATCAGCCTTATCTGCATATGAAAACTTCTAAAATCCTTTGCTCTTTAAAACTTGAAAGTAGATAGATTCCAAAGGGCGATTTAGAGACTATAGGAGTATTGTATTTTAAGTTTGACATGACAGCAACCAAATGCATTCAATAATTTTTAAAAGTGACTTTAATTTCTTTTTGTTTTTAACGATTTATGAGTTTTAGTATACCTTACTTTCTATTTCTTTGTTCAGCCTAAGGTTCTACTTTGTCTGCTCATCTCTTACTTTGGTCATGTACTGACTTGTCTACTTTACCTCAAACTTGTCTTAGATATTTATGTTTGCCTGTTGCCTTATTTCTGCCTTTTGGTAGCATAGACCTTTCAATGTAGGATATCAAAAAGACATTTCTTTAATTCTTTTTCGGTGGCTTTCTCTTTCAGGATAACATTTTGTCACCTGCCTTTCCAAAGCAAATGGCTGTATGTGGGCACTGAAAGAGGAAACATTCACATTGTCAATGTGGAATCATTTACTCTCTCAGGCTATGTCATCATGTGGAATAAAGCCATTGAACTGTGAGTTTAACCAATTTTTGTCTGTCGAGGGGAGGGAACAGCAATGTCCCAGATGTTGTTAACATCAGTTGCAGGAATGTCATTGTTCTCTAGAGAGGCCTCCATATTCATCTTACTGCACTATGTACGCTGTCAAAGTACATGGTCATGTAGATACTTCTATTTTTAAGAATGTGAAGTGCTAATGTTAATATGTGTTTCTGCCATTGAGCAGTATTTTATCATAGTTCCTGAGATAGACATGGAAATAGACAAAATACAGTATAGAAATTGATGTGTAAAAAAAACCCCTATGTTTGGGGATAAAACACTAAAATATGGTGTGGCTGGTACTTGGACAGACATGTCACTTCTACAGTTGGGGATTAAAGACCAAAGTGTAAGAATAATGCCTTTTTTTAGGAGGGCTGATATATTCTGAATAGGAAGTGACATTCTGAAATGCAAATTTAAATAGGTCTATTCTAAGACCAAACCACACTTTATAGCTATTGTCACTGCATCTCCTTTTTTCAGTGTTAAAATTGTATGTACAAATACAGTGGCTTGTGGGGGAAACATGTAGTTGTGTGCTGCTCTTTCTTGTGCTGGTGTTTTGTTCCCAGTATATCTTCTTTCCAAAATACATGAAGTCCATCACTTGCCAAAGGGTGTTGCAGCAAACAGAGCTCTGCATTAGTCCATCTTCTTAAATAGCAAGAAGTCCACATGAAGTGTTAATTCTGTGTTATTGTAACAATGACCATCTTGAACAGTTTATGAATAATGGAAAAACATGTACTCCAGTATGAAAGTAAACATTTTATCCTACAGTGTCAATTCTGTAACAACAGATGTTAGGATAAAATGTTTAAAGTTAATGTTATTTTTTTTTGTTGATAGGCAATGAATTAGTCTAAATGTCTACAAACAGACACGGTATTTTTGCGCTTGAAGATAAAAGTAAAAGTAACTCTATTTTGTAATGTCATAACTTGCTTACATAGAGTCTGTATCTGCAGAATCTGTTTTAGAAGAAATTACTTCAAATCGTTTTGAGATACCATTTAGGGCAGGGGTATTAACTTTTTTTGAAATGGAAATATTTCTTTTTTAGGTCATCCAAATCTCACCCAGGACCTGTTGTCCACATTAGTGACAATCCAATGGATGAAGGAAAGGTAAGATATTTCAAAGACTTTTCAATACATTATTTTCAAAGCAAGACTCTTTTAAAGTATAGATACCACGGCTCTTTAAGGAAGGATTAAGTATATGAAGACAACAAAGGTTTCAGGTCTTTGTTGTAAGTAACATAAAGTTACTTCTTTGAAAGTAACATGTGCAGACATGAGTATAGGATACATTACTGGAATGAATCATCTTGTAATTTGAAAACAGAGACAAAAATGATTAGCTGAAAGACTTTTACTTCTGGAGATAAAAATTAAGATGTTACAAAAAAATAGTCAATCATAACTAGATTGCTTAAAGTATGATGGAAATTAATTCCACTTTATCATACTCTAGTGTGTTATTTCACAACTTTAAAATGCTTATTTGTATAGCATATTTATATAGAATACCATGTTCTTTGTCTTTAGATTAACTGATCTGAGACAGGGTTTTGTGGAATTTGACATCCAACTCATACTCCCCTGTTAGGCCATTTGTCATAATCACTAGGTGCTGTTTGCTGATGAAACTGTCCTACAGAAAAGCAAACCAAAACATGTGAGAAAGATCTATGTATTAGATTTGTATTTTCATTCCTATGAGATAGTATTAACATAATCATCTGTTCATCTTAAAAAGAAGTTTTACAGTGCATGTTCTTGAAGCCCTTGCAAGACAGGAGTCCTTGTCCTGTGGCATACCATTTTGCTTACTAGTGTTCTACATATGCTGGAGAAATATGTTTTGTCTACTTTGTATTTTTCATGTCAGTAGTAGATTAAATTGGAGGGGGAATGATCCCATTGTCTTAGTGGTTTGAAAGCTTTAGCTAGTTATCAACTTGTATCCTAAACACCTGAGGTTTTGGTCCAGCAGAGAAGTTAATGAATAGAGGTTTTTTCATTGGTATGATGCTCACTGCAGTAAGTGCATAACTAATGGGTTTCTCCGTAAAATTAGGTTTGAATCACATTCCAAATTTGCAAACTCTAGCATATGAATGCAATGAAGCTGTTCTAATTTCAGGAAATACAAATGATCAATTCCACCCCACTTTAATATTGTCAGTCAAAGTTTAAAAATTACTGTTAATTATTACAGTTAAAGTTTAAAAAGTTTTATTCATTAGGCTACAAATCAGTGTTTTGAAATCTTGACCTTATACTTTGCTAATTTCATGTAAGGAAAACATTACTAGAAGAGCCCCATGTAGTTGCAGAAATTCCCCATGTATACTTTTAAAATTTGTTCATGCTTTTAGCTTTTTAAGCACAGTGGTTTTTTAATGTTTTAAGTTAAAATAGATAAGTTATAATATATGGCATATGATAGGCAAGATTATTTTTAATATACGTAATGTTAATGGGAAAAATTGAATATTCACTTTTACTAGATCAAAGATGTCTAATATTGATGATACTTTGGTGCTGTATAGCACTGAAAGAGATGAAATATTTTATTTGTAGGCTTGTAGGAGAGCTGTTATTTTTGTACTGGAGACAACAGTGCACCTCAAAATTCTTAACAGGCTGAAAAGACTATCCAGGCAAAACCTCTGGGTGTGGCACTAGATTGTTACTACTGCTTTATGTTGGACATGGTTTGTTTCTTTTTTTCCATTAAGAGAAGTGGCTCTTGAGATAAGGCAACTAAAACATTTAGATGTTCAACAATTAGTTAGACCAACAATTATGAGCAATTTGAGTCTTCACTCCCTGCAGAAAAGGTGTAAACTTGGTTCTTGTAAAAAGATTGTTTGGGAGATTATCTAGTTTAGTTTATCTAGCTTTCCTCCTATGAACAAATAACGTTTTTGGGGTTCCTTCAGCCAGTTATTTCAATTGTGATTAACTTCTGGAGAAACCTCATAGTACATAGTTTCTTTATAGACAATGAATTCTTACTGAGAACTTCAGAGGGAATATTGTGTTCTTCCAGCAAATTTAATCAGAACAAATTGCAGTGAGGAAAACGCACAATAAAGTTCTCCTTTTCAACACCCCTTATTTTCACTCAGGATGGAATACACATAGCAAGGGTTAGTATAGATCTTTCTGCAACTCAAAGTGATTTCCAAGGAAACTTCAGAAGGATACTTTCATTTTTTTCTGATTTTGCATGAATGCCCATTATATTTTCTGGAACTTGAGGACAATAAGTACAAAGTAAACCTTTCTAATGTTGAGGCTTTTGCCTTTTTAATTTTTGTTTTTATAACTACTTGCTGTTACTGTATGTGCTATTATGCTGTGTATTCTTTAGGACAAGAACCCTAGGCATTGCAAATGATATAATTTTGATTTTCCTTATGAAGAATTAATGTATCTTCTTAATGCAGCTTCTGATTGGCTTTGAATCTGGGACGGTGGTATTATGGGACCTGAAGTCAAAGAAGGCAGATTACAGATATACACATGATGAGGTAACATTTGTCGTCTGCATTACTTACTCTGAGGCTATAATTCACTACTCAAATAGTGACTTTTATTATTTTTTAATCTCCTGCTTCTGTCACCAGTGGATCAATAAGTAGGTCTCTTTGAAATTGCAAGTACTGGAAATTTTCTCTAAAAGAGCAGTAGGGCTTGGATAATAAACTTCTGACCAAATAATTTCACTGAGTTTAAATTTGTAAAGTAATGAATGGTGGCATGAATTGGATTTCTTCACTAAGCTTTTAGATCTTATTTATGTTAATGGTGTGACTTTCACTTGTGTTAAGGGTTTAAGTTGAAACAGGATGGTTTAGCAATTTCTGTAATTTGGAATCTTTCACATATTCTGCGAACTGCAAGACAAAAGGGCAGGGAAAGAAGCCACTAAATAAATAGTCTCACTGGAACATTTCTCTTACCACCTTTTCTCTGTCGAATAAGATCATGATCAATGCTCTTTGAAATGAGACTGGGGGAGGTTTAAAAAAACAATAGCGTTAGGTGCCATTCATTTCTTTAAAACTTGATTCTTGAGAGAACAGACTGTTTGAACAACTGAGAATACAAAAAATGAGTCAAAATAATATACAAATTGATGTCTATCATTTAAAAGAATATAAAATTGGTCTTGATTACATTTTGCTGACTGTAAAATGCCTTGTCATTGTTCAGTACCAGCTTCAGGGTGTTTGTAGGGGGAGGGGGCCAGGGTTGTTGGATTTTTTGGTGGCAGTTCTGGCTCAGTACTTGTACTTGTATGTATTCTACCAATCAAGAGTTTGCTTGGTGGAGGAGGCTCTGAAGTAGTCTAAGCCTTAGATCATCAGAAATAATCCATCTAAGCCCCAGAGTGTGTTATGCAAAGAACAATTTTTCTCCCTTCCATTTTCATTGCATGAACCTAATTAATTCCCTTTATCTTTTTTTTAAATATAAATTTTCTTATGTCTTTATTATCTTTTTCTTCCTGGACCTCTTACTTGTGTTCTTCTCTAACTTTTTAAACCATTCTATCTCGTCTTTGTTTTGTAAAACAGAAACACAGCAGCATAGTATATATGAAGATGTGGGCACATGGGATTTATCATGTGGAATAATTATCTTTGGCCTTGCTTTCTTTTTCTCTTGATCTTGATATTGTATTAGCCTTTTGATGCTGCAAGCATAAAGTGGATGCTTTCTTGAAACAACCAACCAAAAAACCAGAGACTTGTTCTTCAGGTGTTACCTGTCAGGTCAAAGTCCTGACATTTAGGCATTATTTTTCATTCACATGGTTGGACAGTAAAAATTAAAGTCTTGCTGCAGTTTTTCACTGAAATCCTGATTTCTGCTTTGAGTCTGGTTTGGTACTGTCAGCAGACTTTACCATCTTAATATTGTTTTTCTAATTTTTCAACTTGCTTATGAATAAACTGAGCAGATGAGGTCCCTGAGGGTCTCTACCATTTAGGTTCATCCATGAAGTAATCAATTAGTGCAAGCTGTCTTTATTCCAGATTGCTTTGCTTCCTTAACTAGTTATTTATTTGTTCAAAGCTATCTAATCTGTTTAGTTTTAGCTTCCTTTGAGATACGTTGTTCAAGGAGTTCAAAAATGTTGTAGACAGCTTGAGTGGTGTTTCCATGAACCTCATCCCTGTTACCATTCTTGAAGGTTTGTTTGACTATAATTACCACTCACAAAAACCATGTTGACTACTTCTGTCTGGTATATTATATTCATCCATATGTCAATTAACTGTGTTATTTATGAAAATTTTGTTGCAGCTTCTGGAAACTTACCTAAGGCAGACACCATGCTGCTTATTCTGGATTTTTTTATTATTTTATTTTGTGCTCCATTTATTTAAAAATTAACTTAATATCTGTCTCAGTACTTTTTGGAACCAATTCTGATTTGAGAGGTGGAGAGATCAGTGAATAGGTCAGGTGTTACACCTTTGAATTTCTTTAGGATTTAGAAATGAATACATCTACATGTTCAGTTTGAGTTTTTTGATTGGAGAAAAAGTAATGAAATATCTCAGGTCAGAACCTTGGTAAAGAAATGTGTTTATCATGACTTGAGAATGGCACTTTTTTCTCTTCCCTTCCTAACCAATCTGGTAATGTAGTGGTTTCCTTGCTCATGAGGGTGTGCACACAGAAGCTCAGAGTGGAGCAGTGCCTTGTCTCAAGAGATCTCCTCTGTCTCTGGTTACTGTGACACAGAGCAAATAAAGTTCTTTTCCATTTTGTTTCCTGCTAACAAACTGTGCGTATTTGGACATTTCTGTGCAGAGAATCTCTCTGGCTAGTTTCTTGTTGGTTTCCTGGTTTCATGGCGTTGTTAGAGAATTTCTTTCACGCACTGACTGAACGGGCTGTGTTCCATCATGAACATGTGTGCCAACCTACCCTCAAGGGATGGGGAGCATCTAATGTCACAACATGCTTCACCTCTTCTCTCACTGAGGGTAATGCATGTGACATTCTGCCCTGTAGCAGGAGCAGGATTTGAAGCCTCAGGATTTATGTGCTTGGTTCTCTGCTTGTTCTTGATGAGAGCTCTTCTGAGCGTGGAGTTGACAACCAGTAAAGAACAGAGCTACTTAGTCCAATTTTGTCATGCTTGCCATCTTAGTGGGTGGCTAGGCTTCCTCGGACATGATGAGCAGGGTGGCCAGGACATTGATACCATAAAGAAAGTTTGCTAGAAACTTTGCCATTGGATTGGTATCCTCCTCTCTCATCACTTTGTAGTTGATTTTATACTTAAAACATTTAATATGAAGGTCTGTGCAGTCTTTCACCATCATTTGATGCAGCTTTTTTAACTCAAAACTTCAGATGTGTGCAGGGACCCAAATGTCATCCTTTCTTCCTTAGCAGAGGAAGATCATAGTGAGGGTAAAAATCTATGTGTGTCCAGAGGTCTGTGGAAAGATACCTGTTATTTCCTGAGGGAAGATATTGAATCCAATTATATGGGTTTGTAGCTTCCTGCTTGGTTTCATTTCAAATGTCCTGACCTTCAGGAGGCTTTATTGAAGCAAATTCCCAAGTTTTGGTAGGGCAGTCTCATTTGTTGCCTGAAAGCCAGGTTAATGTTAACACTGTGCACACTTTCTTCCTGGCTGAACACGTGCGCCTTCCCAGCACCCTGGGCCGATAGTTGCAGCACAGGGACACTAGGACACTCACCTCAAGGAGAGGAACAGGTGAGTAACATTAACCATGGCTGGGGGATGCAGCTCTAGGTCATGATTAGGTTAGTGCTGATTGCAGGCATGTTCTTCTCTCCAGAACAATCTACTTACACAAAAATTCAGACTTTAGCTGTAATTTGTACTTGATCTTTCTATATTATGAATTAAATCCTGAACTTAAAGTAGTGTATATATTTTATTATAACAGTAATACTTCGAATATTTAGAATTACTTAGAATAATGCACAAGTGTAACATTCTTTTTCAGAGAATTTCCAGGAAATTATTTGCACATAGTGGAACTGTAGCTGTGAATGAACTTTTGTTTAGAAAATTTCTTTGAAACCTTTTACGCAAAACATCCCTTTTGTGTTGGGCATGCTCAATGAAACAGTAAGACTAAATTCCTTTTGCACCATTTTTAAGCTTTTTATATGCAGACATTGGGGATTTAAGGAAATTAAGCAGTGCATTTTTTATGTGAAATACAGTTTATATTGCAGTCATTTCCCAACCTGTATGTTCATGAAAGAAATTAAACAAATTTTTTAAGTATTGCTTTTGCCCAAAAAAACCCCCAAATCCCTCAACTGTAACTTCTGAAAACTAAAGCTTGTTTTATAAGCAAGTCCCTTCTTCTAGTAATATTTTGTTTGTTCTGATGTCAAGTAAGCTTTGACAGCATTAACTATAATGCATTATAGATGACTATTTTTAGACTCAGTGTTCTGGTACGTGGTTGAGTGTAAGAGATTATTTTAGAGCATTAAAAACATGTCAAAGTAGCTTGTGGAATTAAGAGGACAGGGGAAAGAGAAACAACCCTGGTATGCGACTTGCCAGAAACCAAAATGTGTCAATGTATTTCATTTCATCGAAATAATCTTCATGTTGTATTGTCATTTAAGTCTCATGAGCTACATTTTTTTGTTTGTTTTCTTCCTTTCACAGCATTTTTTCCCTTCTTTAGGTTGTTGACAAGAGCGTTAGCATAGTTACTTCCAAGTTTTAAAATATCTTCTTTGCATATTTCGGTGAACTGATAGAAAAGGAGAGAGTGTCATCATCCATTCATGTTTAAGCAAAAATGCTGCCCATATCCATGGAAATTAAAGGACTGTCATAATAAGGCAGTGAAATCTGGATAAGATATGGTAACTAACCAGTCTGGTTTGCAGAATAACTAATCATGGACTTTGCCAGTCATGCACAGTGTATTTCAAGCTCAATTAATGTCACAAGAGAGTAGAGGATCATTGAGAAATCCAAGGAATTATGAAAGGACTTATCAATGTCTCTAGTGCTTTCCATATTTGCAGTAGTCTAAATTCAATGTTAGAAAACTGGATTAAAAAATCTCTCTTGAAAACAGTGTAAACTGCTTAAATTAATAACTTCTGTGTTTTCATCATTGAAAATCTCCATGTACTGTTCTGGTTGGAATAGGTTTAATTTTCTTTCTAGTACCTGCCAAAGAGCTGTGTGTTTAGATTCGCTATGAATAACTTCAATAACACACTGATGTTTTAGTTGTGCTGAGTACTTCTTTTTATTGAAATTATTAGACTGTTCTTACCTCAATCCACGAGTTGTAGCATTTTATCTGATTCTACCCCGCATCCCACTGGTGACTGAGCAGCATTGTGGTGCCTGATTGCTGCCTGGGGTTTAACCATGACAGATGGGTGGTCTCAAAATGTTCCAAAATCATATGTATGTGGCTAAAATAAGCCTGTATAAATTTAAAAGAACGGGATTCTTTGTATCAGGATTTAGTGAATTGAAACAGCTGAATTCCCCTGGTGGAAAAATACCATAAAGGCTTCAGTCTTTATTGATGAACTTTTCTCTTATATTGCAAGGATTCATTTAAATTATTCATTTTTGTACCTCTTAAAAGTACCAAGAACTAATAGTTATTTCTAGGGATATTTACAAGCTATTGCAGAAGAAAATAAATGTCATAAAATGTTTTTAAGTAAGCAATAATCGCTTGAAAAGCTAGTGATCTACTTAAGATATTTCTGTAGGAGTCTTGCATATAAATGTTTTCACTTTTGTTCCTCAGACTTTTTTGGTTTATTTGTGATTGCAAAGTATCCCTCAGTTAACTACTGCAGTTGCTGCAAAAATGTTTCTGTCTTAAAATCAGGTATACTCACCTTCTTTGCGGGCAGCATAGCAGTAATTTTTCCACATGGGATCATCTTTCTGGAACAGATGGTGAATTGATTTTGTGTTTGTGTACAGCCTGTCTCTACATAAAACTCAGGGATAGTTTCTACAATTTCTAATAAAGTTTAGGCATATGTAGGACAGCAAGGTCAATTGTGTTGTTATTCAAAAATGTAAGATTCCATTCTGCACTTCCCAAGAAAATACATAACTGTCTCAGAAGCTTTGAAACAAACTTCCCTAGAGTCCAGAATAGGTACCTTAAATTTGAATTAAAGTGAAGGGAATAGTAGGAATACTTCTATTAAGAAACCTTCAGTGGTAATTATTTTAAGTAAGCAATAATCGCTTGAAAAGCTAGTGATCTACTTAAGATATTTCTGTAGGAGTCTTGCATATAAATGTTTTCACTTTTGTTCCTCAGACTTTTTTGGTTTATTTGTGATTGCAAAGTATCCCTCAGTTAACTACTGCAGTTGCTGCAAAAATGTTTCTGTCTTAAAATCAGGTATACTCACCTTCTTTGCAGGCAGCATAGCAGTAATTTTTCCACATGGGATCATCTTTCTGGAACAGATGGTGAATTGATTTTGTGTTTGTGTACAGCCTGTCTCTACATAAAACTCAGGGATAGTTTCTACAATTTCTAATAAAGTTTAGGCATATGTAGGACAGCAAGGTCAATTGTGTTGTTATTCAAAAATGTAAGATTCCATTCCCCACTTCCCAAGAAAATACATAACTGTCTCCGAAGTTTTGAAACAAGCTTCCCTAGAGTCCAGAATAGGTACCTTAAATTTGAATTAAAGTGAAGGGAATAGTAGGAATACTTCTAATAAGAAACCTTCAGTGGTAATTAATTAAAGTTTTGTCAAGTTGACAAATTTGGTTGCTTTTTTGTTAGAGTTCTTTCTGTTTGAGTTCCTGTAGAGATTCCCTGTATTTGGTTCATTTTCGTAAATGGAAGGACTCAGAATGAAAGTAAGGTCAAGACTCAGTTTACCTGTGCAGACAACTCCGATTATGGATATAAATGCTTTAAATATAACAACAATACTCTGTGATACTTTGGTGTGATCTTGTTATAAGGGGTTACTTTCTGGTCCCATATGACCAAAAAAGATTTAAGACACAGTTAAATCTGCACCAGCTGATATAAGCATACTGCTGCATTATAGTACCAAAAAGAAAACAGAAAGTTTTAATCATTATTAGAATTAAGATTAAAACAGAGTTTTATTCTGCAGTAAGTTTTGTGTAAAATATTAGAATAAAAATGTACTACTCGTAGTAGCTCTTTAATGTCTTAGAGGATTTGTGTAGTTTTGCAGACTCAGTGGATTCTGCTTCATTTTTTCTATTTTATGCATTCCTCCAAATTCCAGCACTGATATTAACTCTGGAAAAAATATCAAAACTTTTTTGCTCTAGTGTATAGAGATGATTTTTCAGATACTTTGTTTTGGTGGTTGAGACTCTTGCTAGTCAACAATTAGTGCTATCAGCTAGCTAGTACTACTCAAGGTTATTGTATTATTTTCATTATAACTGTCTTGACACTAGACCAGTTTGTTTTGTACCTTGAGATAATGCTGGATCTACTTATGGAGTTGGTTTTTGTTTTTTAGACTTACAAGAATTTGTGAATTGTGTGACAGCAAAGAATATTGCTCTATACCAAAGTTTATCATACCCAGCCAACAGAGCTATTATTTGGATTATTTTTAAAAATATAAAGCATATATTTCAGCTACATTTTAAAAAATATTTAGCTGCATTACTAAGTATAACGAGTGACTCTAAAACTAGGCAGTAAATAGCCATAAGGCCAAAAGGCTCATTGTTCTTTTTCAGGGGTTTTAGGTTTTTTACCTCCATGTTCCTCGCAGAAAGTGAGAGCAGTCATCCTTCTCCTTTGTGCTCAGGTCTTTTTATCTTCTTGAACATTAATGCTATTTCAACAGTAACAAGTTGTTGTATTTCCCTTCTCTTGACATTCTTTTTCAAGAAAAGGAAGAAGTGGTAATTTCTCAGATTTATTCTTCCTTCCTCTTGTGAAACTTGCTTTCTTACTTCTTCTGAAGACTTATTTCTATATAAATGTGGATCAAACTGTTCCATTTACACTGTGGGCTGCCTACTGTTGTCGAGGTTGGACTTCATATGGGAGATAATGTAAAATGTACTGATTATATTGTATTGCTAAGCCTGCTGTAGACATTTATTTTGACAGTGATGAGCTTCTTTAAATGCAACCTTCTCTTTACTGAGTCTGCACTCTCAAAATTGTTGATCCCTTGCTTTATTTGGTGTAATGTGTATAATCTATAGTGATTCCATAATACATAGAGAACAATATTAAATTTCACTAAGAAATGCTAAACTTAATCTGTAGTTTACATATATCCAGATGTTATATTAATTTATATTGGGGAAAATTTTATTGGAGACTAGACTTATGTAGCATAGCCATTTTCCTCTGTCATTTAAGCTCTGGATTCTCCCATTCAGTTTGCTGGAAACTGTCTTGTCTCTGTATAACTTCATGAAATATGAAGACCTGATCTGTGTATAAGCAGTCTGAGCAAAGCTCGTTTGGATCTGTCCTGAGATGTGCTCTTCACCCAGTAATTACTGCTTAAGCTGTCATTGCTGGTTACAGTTCTCTACTGCTCACACACCCAGGTTTCCTCACAGAGGAAATCCCAAGGTCCCCATGGAGCTGGAGTGAGTGTAAGCCCTTCTTACAGACAGAAGCACAACTGAAGGTATCCATTGAGGGTATTGTAAAGTCCATCAGTTCTCACTTATCCAGCACCTGCTGTTCCAGTTTACCTAGAGTAATGTCTTCATCATAAAATCTAGCTTTTCAGTAGTACCAAAATTCAATATTTCTTGCAGTTAATAGTTCCTTTTGCACCTTCTGGGTAGTAGAGAAATTCTTTAAGGTTTCATTATTTACTTTCATGCTATAACTAAAATTCCTTTGAATATCACCTAATGGTTCCATCATGTTTCCATGTACTAATAGAGATGCTGGAGGCAGAAATGGGACCAATCCTTTCTTGCTAGTTAATATTTTTTCTTTATTTGTATACTTTGCGTCATTGTTTACTTTCCTCTTGCCTGAAGGCAGCAAATAGATTTTATTTATTTAGCTGTTTCCTGTAGCTTTTATGTGGCATGGTGTAATTGTTCCATTCCTGATTTTAGGAATCTAGAGATGATTTTGTATTTATGGAAAGATTTGCAAGTAGATTCCTGTGCTTTCCTGCGCTTTCCTGCACCTCAAACTGCCATTGCAATATTAGAGCATCCAGGCTAATACTTTGCTTTCATCATCATAATTTCAAAAGGTCTTGTTACTTCAGTTCTTGTTTTATGCAAGTTTTGACCCAATGCTTGTCTCATGTGCACATCCACATAAACATCTCAAAACGATATGTAACACTTGAACTTAATAATCTCATCCTATGATTTTTGTCTGGACAATATGTTTTTTCCCAATACTGAAAAATTTTGGTTGGCAAAGCTTAAGTAAGTGCTTGCAAATACTCTCTTCATGCTACCCTTCATGGTAGAATTCTTCAATACTACTCTGAGGAGGGTGGGTTCTCCTCTTGCTCTCCCTAAACAGGTCACTACAGCGAAGACAGTATTTTTGATGGGTAAAGTGTGTCTGAAAGTACTATTTATGTTAGGAAAACTTCACATGGGTAAATTAGGACGTAAGAGGATAGGTATTATTTAATTAGTAATTTTTCTAATTGGCGTTTTCTGTTTAATGTCACTAAGGAAGGTGTAAGAATAAAATTATAATAAGATATAAGATACACAACTTACATTGTTCTGCTTTTGATAGGCTATCCACTCTGTGGCTTGGCATCATGAAGGAAAACAATTCATTTGTAGTCACTCAGATGGTACCTTGACCATATGGAATGTAAAATCTCCTACCAAACCGTTCCAGACAATCACTCCACACGGTAAGATGAAAATGGATACCCACTCTACTTGACAGCTCTTAAAACACAGAGAACTTGTTTTTAATAGAAGTGTGTTTTGCAAAAAACAATATTAAAAGTGCACTTGCAATGCAGTAAAAATCTTTCTCAGTCATGTCAGTTGCTCACAGATTTCACTTGAAAAAGAAAAATCTTTATGAAGTCAGAATCCAAATCAGTGCAGCTTTCTCTAAATCTCTAAACTTTAAGCTTGCCTTTCACTCAATGGCACTGATCTCAGAGTTAACTAATGCGTATTTTGCAGGACTTGCTTTTTGCTTATAGTACAATCCCCTAGATTGTTTAAAATATGTATGAGCAAGTACCTGTTTTGTGTATAAATGTGTAGATTACCACATAAATTTTCAGAAGGGTTTGTAACAGAACAAGAATAGCATCTGATAAGAAGTTTCCACTTCTGAGAGGTCTTGCATTAATGTTAATCTAGGAAATTAACATTACATGTTGTTCTTCCGTGAAATATACTGCTGCTCTTCAAGTAAGTTGTACACAAATGCCAGGCTTACGTGCTGTGCATGTCTCTATTTCATGTCTTAGCAACTTGAGATTTTTAAGTGTGTCTGTATCAGTGAGGATAATTGCACAGTTGAGAGAGAGTGAACTTTTCATGCTCAATTGAAGTCTTAGCCCTAAGGATAATACTGAGGATAAACCTCACTTTACTTGTAAGCTGACCAATTTTAATTGCAAAAGTGTAGACACAACATAAATTTGAACTCTCCTAGTGCTACTTAAAACAGCACTTTAGGGGAGGATTATATGTTTGAAAACAAATTTTGTACAGCAGTCAGGTTTAGAGTTGCTCTTTTCCCTAAACCTTCATAGTTGGCGTGTTGTGAGCTTTAAGAAATTTTTAATTATATTATTCCTAGGCATAATCTATAACTGTCAAAGTTGTTGAATATATGTTGGGTGAATTTTATACTCCTCAAGCTGCACAGTGAATTTCATTACTTGCCATAATGTTACGGAACTGCAAGATTAATACAGGAAAATAATTTACTTTAGGAAAGCAGCTGAAGGATGGAAAGAAGCCAGAACCCTGCAAACCTATCCTTAAGGTGGAATATAAAACAACTAGAGCTGGGTAAGACTTGTTCTGTATGCAAAATGAGCATATCTAACAGTGCAGCACTCTGGGAATGGACTTTGTTTCCCATATTCTAATGGTATAGCTTTGTTTTAGCTTTAATAAATCAGATATTGATGAAGAAAATAGAAAAATTTGTGTGAATGAATTACTGTATACAAGCCAACAATGCTGCTAATGCATTATCTACATTTTCTTTTATGCTACTAAAACTTGTGGTTTTGTTCAATTTTTTGAGAGTTCTGAAGAAAAAAAGGCTGATAAAGCAAAGACACCAAAACACAGACATGATAAATTGAACTTTGACAAATAGTATCCCAAAGTGAATATTTTTAATTTTGAATACATATTCCTCCCCACTAAAATGTTATTAAGAGAAGTTTTTCTAGTAGAGTGCAGTAATTTATGCAGTGAAGTATGCCTAATTATGCACATTGAGACTGTAACAAAGCAGTAATTGTAACAAGAGGCTCAGATGGAATTACCGGATCCATAGAGTAGCATGTTTTGTTACCCAGACTGCAGCTAGGGTGGATGGATTTCCTGAATGTGGAATTTCTTTTCTATAATTTGTGGTTATAAAGTGTTTGAGTAAAAAGTGCAATATGAAGATAAAATATCCATGGAAGTCAGTTCAGCTATTTGCAAAATCTGATTTTTTTGTTTGTCTTCTTTTATATTTGGGGGGTTTGTATACTGTTTTTATTTGCTTTTCAGGCATTCAAATCTGTAGAAGATGGTTAATTAAATGATACAATACAGTAATGTGTTTATATACTCATAATATCACTGGCTTTAGGTTTTATTATTTTCTGCTAAAAATGAGGTAAATAGAAACTTAAAACTGTCTGCCTCTCAGTTTTATAAAAATCTGTCATCATCTGGAAAGCCATATTTTACTTGCAAAAGTCTACATCTGTGTAATCCTTTCTCAACTAAAATATCAAAAGCTGATTTAAAGAGAGATAATAAAAAAATCTCAGCTTCAGCAAGTCAGTTCCTGCAATCAAAAGCCTTCTTTTATTATGAATAGTCATTCTGAAGGAGACTATTGGTTTGGAGCTTGTTCTGTGACATAATATTACAATGTGAAAACTATTTGACTTTTGACATAGTTTAAGGAGGAATTTATTCTAGTATAATTTCTAATAATCCTTAATGGTTTGGGGAAGCTACTTTTTCCTGGTTTGGCTTTTTTTTTTTCTGTTGTGCCTCTCACTTGCTGGTGTTTATCCAAACTGAATGTTTTGACACATTTCAATTTACTCTTCTCGCTAATGTTTTCTATCTTCAGTGTACTATTAAATCTACAATTATTGATAACCTTTCCTGAACTTTTTAAGTAAGAGAGGGGAAAAAAAAAACTGCAACAAAAACAAAACCACACCAGTCTGCACTGTGGTAGAGAAGCAGTGTGCTGGAAATCTCCTTCCATTTACTGCTATGTGTACTTCAGTTTGTACTTCAATTTTCAGTTTCACTTCTAATCTTACAAGAATTTTAAGGCAAGACAGAACTACCTTTCCATACATAAATTTTCTGTAGATTTTCTATTTATCATTTGGAATTGTTTAATATGAGCAATACTTTTTATCCAAAGTGCTGTCATTTCTCATTCATGGTTTAATTTCTGTAGCACAGAGAATTGTTTCTGGACAGGACAGACTTTTTCAGGCTACCAAAACAATGTAAGAAACATATGAAATAAACTTTTTTTCTATGGCAGTACACTATAGCTGTTCTTAAAAAACAAATTATAAAAAAAAAAACAGAAGAAAAAGCAAAAAAGCTTACATTTAAGAGATACTATTTAATACTTAAGTTATATTTCAAATCTTTATTAAGAAAAAATATTCATTATTTTCATGCTGTATTTTGAACATCTTCCTGTCACCCCTTTTTTGTTTCTCCCCTATCTATCTAATGTGCTCAAAGATCTGCATCTGTTTCGATATCTCCTCCAGTGGCAAACATTTCATTGATATGATCTGAACTGGGTTTTTTTACTGCTTCTAATTCTATAAGCTGGTTTTGGGGAAAAGTGGCTCAGAACCATGCAAAAGGAAGGACCACAACCTATGGCAACCTACATTAAGGGCTACAGACACTACTCTTTTTACTGTTGCACCTATTTTTAATTCCTTCTCAATTTTTTTTCCTTGCATGGTGTTTTCCATATTGTAAAACTGGGGTCAGGACAAAAAGGGGACATGAGGCATGTTGTGGGCTGCCTATTTATTTGCTAACTTTGTGGGGTTTCTGTTGCTTTCTGTTTGGTTGGTTTGGTTTTTAAGTTTACTGCAAATAGTGCAAAGAGTGAAGTGACCAGAGTCAAAGTAACTTACCCTACAACAAGAGTATGTCTGTAGCTTTCTTCCTGGGAGAAAGGTTACTACTGATCAATAAGAGGTGAAAAAGGTACATTCTTTGTATATTCCTTGTGCAAAGTGGCATAATTTTGCAGTCTCAGAGCATAATGTCACTGTACTGCAGCCACTCTTCATCTAAAATACTTCATCCTTTTCAGAAGCACTGAATTTCAAAGGTAGCTTACCTTTTGAGCTTTCTGAACTGGTTCCCATATTGCTTTTTGCATGTGTAGTATTGCATGTGTACTTTTTCTGTCTAAGCGGATCTAGAGACACTCTCAAGCTTCCTTGTGCCACTCCCTCTCCCTCCAGATTCACCTCTTCCTGATGCTACTTTCCACATGTGCAGGCTCAGTGCCCTGCAGTATTTACTCTGGTTGATGTTAGCATTGTGGTAAAATTGCCTGTGTCTAATAGAAATTAGAGCTCAAAGTCTCTTTATAAAACGTAATTCAGAAGGGTTTTGTCTTGGTAGCTGATGCAGCTGTCACTGACTGACTGAGTCATCTTAGCAGGATGGTTGTGTGTAACTGGGATCCCGGGGTTACATTAGTGATGATGCCTCCCACCAAGGAAAAGTTGTTAATCTGTTCATTCGGTTTGAATAGTGGTATTTTCTTGTGTCAGCTTACTGGTTTAAAACCACACTTCCCAAAATACATTTGTAGTTTTGTCTTCACTACTACTTCAGGACTTCAAGTATTAAGGTAAACTAACTCTTGAAGTCTTTTCCATCTTCATACTAGGATTAACTTCTCCACAGATTTACTCAGGGTTTGAAGAGGAAGCCAGATGGCACCAAGGACCTGATTTCTCTATATACCATTCTCTCACACATCTGGATTGTCAGAAGCTGGCTCATATTTGATAGTTCATTAGTAAAATGGAACAGAAACATCCTCCTGGTTTGTGAGCCACTCAAATTTCAATTGTATTTTTTTCATACATTGCAAAACCTAATCCTGTGTTTTCTGAAAATTCTGAAATGATCCGTTGCCCCCTTTTATAGTCAATTTCTTATAGTATTCTCCAAGTGACTCTGCATACTTCACTGATGAGGAAATTCATGTAAAGGACTACTTGCAAACCTGCTGAAGCTGAACTGTTTCAAAGAATCTCTGCATGAGCAGTTGCTATAAATTGCTATTAAAAATGCTGTAAAGCAATTCTCTAAAATCTGAACCCTGAGTTTTTTTTAAATGTCTTCCATTGTTTCAGGTAGGTAAAATGTAATTCCCAAAGCTGAATCACTCTCATCTATTATATAAAGTACAAATCTTCTAAATTTTAATTTTAAATTATGTATTTCTGATTGATGTGCACTAACCTTTTAATATGTATCAGAGCTGAAGGGCAGCACTTTAACTAGAAAATGCAGTTTGTGTTCGTGGTAAATCCATGGTTTAATGAAAATATGAAAAACTCGTATGCAAACTTTTAGTGGTCTTTCTGGCAGATTCAAGTCGGGTTTAATCTTTGATTCATTTGTGGAAAATCTGTGTGACAGATCAGTGTTGCTCTATTCTTAGCTCTTCCATTCCTTGCATCTAAAGGATACTGTCTCTGGCAAGCCTGCCCAAAGCAGTTGGATTACCTTGAGAAATAAAACCTGGAGAAGCTGGCATACAATTGTCACTGTGATGTATGAAAATTAAAAATTGAAATTTGTTACTTTGTTACTGTCTGTTGATCCCAGTGAATGTGCAAATCTCATAATTACTACAAATTGTCCTGGCAGCGTTATTGTTTAAAAAACTTGATGATTTCTATGGACAAAAAAATACTACAGTAAATCATTCCAACACAATGAGACCTCACCAGTATTTTTCTCTTCCCTGACATCCTGAAAAATACCAGACTAAGTTCAAGTGTATAACTTTCTTGTAATTTTTTCATGGACCTGACCATAAAAGATTGTACCAAGTTTCAATATGAAGAGCTGAGATTAAATGAAGACTCAGAGAAAACTTGATCCACTTCTAGAGATACATTCTGGGCTACTGTTGGAGACGGGATAATGAATTTGATGGGCCCATGGTCTGATTTGTGGCCATTCCTTTGTGGTCTCTTCCTCAGCCAGCAGTGCTCCTTGAGCCTATCAAATCTTTGGTCATAGGTCTTTCTGGAAGATCAGATTGCTTGATCTTGGAATCCACAAGGAATAAGTATTCTACAAGTGTAGAAGCTGGAGGCTTATCTCAGTCTGCTGTGCCTTCAGTGCTACAAACACAAAGCACATCTCAGCCAAGTCTAAAACTCATGAACTGCAGCATGTACATAAACCAAACCCTTAATATAGAGTTTTCAAGAATTCTGATGTATCTAGTCTCACTTTGTGCTTCAAATGCCAACTATACAACTTTAGACAGTATGGAAAAGATGGTATTACAGGAAAGGATTTAAAAAAAAAGTTTCCCCTCTTTTTACAATATATCATGGCTTTTTTTTTTTGTAAACATTTTCTCCAGATACTGATATACTAGCTATTCCCAAGGAAGATGCAAATGAAGGGTAGAACTGCTACTGAAAGTGAGCATAAAAGTAGATCAGAGGCAACTGATAGATATGCAAAGTGCCTATTTTTCCTTCAGAAATATAATGTGAAATTTCAGGCAATAGTCAGTAATGAGTAACATTTATATTTTGAGCTGTATACTTAGAGTCAGCCTACTCTTTAAAAAGAATTATGTCCTATTTTAAAGTAAGCGATATTTAAATGAGTGATTCATAACAATCAGGAAATAAGAAAATACCTGGTAAAATGAACATATTCACTTCATCTTGTTTTCAATAAATTAAATAGTAAACTGTACATTATGTGCATATTGGAAATATATGGATCTATTTAAAAGTATGTTTCTGCAAAGGCTTTTAAAAAAATTTCAAGGGAAGCTTCTAAACTCTTCTCAAGACTAGAAGAAATATCTCTGCTTTGCTCTACTCAGCTATTTGATTTTGCAGTAAGAATAATGTATGACACAGTAGTTTCTTGAATTTTGTGTATGGTGGTAGGGGGAAATATGGATAAAACATCTAGAGTAAACGTGTGATGTTACTTAAGAGATGTTATGTCTTTAAAGCTTATCCAGCAGTTGGTTGTATCTCCAAGACAATCATATTAGTGTACAGCAAGTGAATGGGACTGTTTGTTCCTGATTTTGCTGGGTGTTTTATGTTATGGAAAAATGGGAGTGTTGGCAAATCTGAATCTGCAGTTGAGTAGAAAAGAAACAGCTCTAAATTAGTACAATTTTTTTTAAATAAAAATATCTCATCTTGCCACGAAGTTTTAAATATTGGTTAAGTCAACAAAATATTTGGAGGAGATGTCTGACTTAAACAAAAGTTACAGTAAAATTTTAAATACATACCCAAGCTGTATAATTCATTATTTTTACTCCATATTTGCTTAATGATATTTCATTGAATTTTATCATAAGTTTGCAAAACCTGCCCTGTCTCTTTTAGCATGTTATCCTACTTGATCCTAAATGCTTCTGCTTCATTCCAGGGAGCCTTTCATCATTCTCTCAGGCGGCTTGTCATATGACACTGTAGGAAGAAGACCCTGTTTAACAGTCATGCATGGGAAAAGTACTGCTGTGCTAGAAATGGATTATTCTATTGTTGATTTTCTAACCCTGTGTGAAACACCATATCCTAATGGTAGGCTCTGTAAAGATTTTTCTTGGTACCTTGACTTGTTATCACTGAAGTTTTATCCCAACAGAATATTCTTTACTATTGTCTTTCTTTTTATCTCTGGGGATCAGACTGCAGCAGCAACATCTGTTATCCCTATTGTCTGAAGTGTGGTTTACTTGCCAAAACATGAACAGAATAGTTCATTATAAAGCCAATTTTGTGTCTAGAAAAAAAGCCAGTTACTCAGAGCATGTTTTTTTCTTTTTAATCCCAAAAGCATGTGCAGACCAAAAGCATTACAACTTAAAGCTGTAGTTACTGGAGCAGATATGTGCATCAGGATATTTGGGTGCATCAGGCCTTTACAGTCAGTGCTAAACCATGAGGACCATTTTTGTATTACTTTAAACTTTTAGTGGCTTTGTTCATTCCAATATTTAGATGTATGTCATCACTAACCTGTAATCTCTCTTCTGTAGCAGGGGATTTCTTATTATAGTTTAGGTAGTTATTTCAGGTGAATAGTATTGTATTGCTGATGATTCCAATGGGTTTAGCTGTCAGCTTCCATCAGAGTATATTAAACTGCTTAGCCTGGAATTTGAGATCTGGCTGAAAGAGGGCAATTTAAGCTTTGGATACCTTTTCAAGTTTCTTAGTTTACTGTCAAGTCAGCTGTCTTTTGAGCCATTTTGTAAGCAAGTAAAACTTAAAACCCACTGAATATGAGGAAAAGCAGTTTAGGGGTGGGAGGATGTTACTCAGAAATTGGCTCTTTCACTCATATAACCTGCTTACAGAATTTACTCTGCATGCTCATTTTTCTGTTATTTGAGCTGTTGAGAATATTGAATAAAAGAATATAATTTTTCCAAACTTCACTTGGATGATTCAGGAGTCTGCATGTATAAAATATCTTCAAAAACTATAATAATTTAAATGGCTTTCTAATCTCAGCTGCCAGAGTGCAAGCACTGATTCTATTCTTGAGGCTGTACATGCATGGGCATCCAATAGGTAATGTTTTGTTGTTGTTTGCAGACTTTCAGGAACCATATGCTGTAGTTGTTCTCCTAGAAAAGGACTTAGTACTGATTGACCTTGCACAAAATGGGTAAGACTTTTCTCTAGTCTTTTTCAGTCATTGGCTACAGTGATCAGCCTCCTGTTCTACTTTATAACTTTTTAGTCTAACCTAGTACCTCAGAACATTACATTTTGAATATTAAATTTAAAATTTCTTCAAATGAACTAATAATGCTGTTATATCAACTTTTTTCAAGTTAATGTATAGTAGATGAGTAGAATATCATGTAACTTTTTCCAGGCTTGATTGACTGACCAAAATTATTCATAGATAATTTCTGCTTTTAAAGTATCACAATTTCTTTTCAAGTTGATTCCTTAGTGTTGTGGGAGGAATTTGAAGTTTTGGGGAACTTGCAGTTTTGAGGAAGGCAGCAGGGAGAAGAAGTGATTAAATAACCCAAGTAATTTTGGCTGTTGTCATCACTTAAATATTTGCAGATCTTATTGCCAAATAAACTACTATCTGCATTGCTTAAAGTAACTCCATACTGATGCAATAATATCATATATATAAAATTTGAATGATAAGATCTAATCTCACAAATCATACCTGCCTAAAACATTGAGTCTCTTGCTGCTTTGTCCATGGAGTAATCCATACACTGTTATTAGTGGTGATTAAAAACTCCAGACACTACAAAATTTTTTTTATGAAGGGTATTGAAATTTGCATAGGCAGTAACAACTAACTGTTAAGAGATCAGGAGCAGAGGGGCTGGGTAAGAACTTGCTACTGTTCCTGATTAAAAGTCTCCAATGGTCAGTGGAGGAAAATCCTTGTGAAGAGCATCCTTCTAAGGCAAAACAAAAATCCTGTAAATATTTGTCCTCAAAGTCAATGGTGACATCTTAGATAATGAAGACTGTGAAATGTGGAAGTAGATCAAGTTTTGTCCTAATATCTCTGCAGCTGTTGAGCAATGTAATTTATGTTTTCCAAATGTTACATGGTCGTATGATATATCCAAAACTTGTTTCTAATATAGCAATAGTTTGAAGTGTCAACATTCATATTTAGTTTGAAGTGCCTGAAATTTGAAGTTAGGTTATTCTATTTCATACTGAATACTGATAGATCTTCAGCAGTTTGTGTTTTTACAATGGTCTTTGTTATGATTGACTTGCAAACCATTAGGTTTTTGACACCTGAAAAAGAAATAAAAGTAATACCAGAAAAATCTACAGGCTTCCTTTTACCTTGTGTTCTCTCAGGGATTTGTCATATTTTGTTAATGTTAAGCCTCTTCTGCACATAATTATTGTATATTAAGCTATATTTGTAGCTTTCCTTATAGCCCTTTAGAACGTTCCTGATGCACAGAGTGTTTTCATCTGTTGTTGTTAATTTTTCCTTTAGATGGGTTGAGAAGCTGTGTCTTTTCACCTCCACTAAAAAAGGGGAGATAAAAATAATAGAAAAAAAAAAGTAAAATAAATGGCATGCATTTCTCTGGAGATAAATGTTCTTTGAACTCAGATGCATTTACCTCTGTTAGTATTATTGACCATTTTCCTCATTAAGCCTCTGTCACTTTTCAGACAGAGATAATGGTGGGGAGCATGTCTGTGTATGTTCTTCTAATTGGTAGCTGAGTGTTGCTATCTGTAATTGCCAGAAAGTGATCTTGGAGTTGCAAGTAGATTAAGCAAAATTTGTCCATGCAGAATGCTGGACAACTTTGTGTTTCAGTACAGTGTGCTAATAGCAAGTGGGATGGGAATCTTCCTGTCTTTATCCCTAGAAGAATAGACCGAAGAGTTAGAAATAAATTCATAGCTCCATGTTACTGCAGCTGAGACTTGGCAGCTTAATTTTTTCCACAGGCCACTAAATTAGTAATATTTTGAAAATATAAATGACAGGGGGAATAGTAGTGTTATAGAAAAACTCTAAAAACTGTACAAATGTTAGATTCCATCTAGAGTGCTACACTATCTTTGTAGTGTACTGGATGAGCAGTAAAGTTGTCTAGCATATTTGTTCATATCTAATTTGATATGCATTTATTTTCCTCTGTACAAAAAGAATGCCAACTGAGTCATTAGTATTTTACTTGTGTTCTGCACTTAAAAAAAAGTTTTCCTTAGATTAACAGTTAGCCTCTTTCTTCCTTTAAAGGTATCCTATATTTGAGAATCCCTATCCTTTGACTATACATGAGTCTCCAGTTACCTGTTGTGAATATTTTGCTGATTGTCCTGTGGATCTCATACCTGCGCTCTATTCAGTTGGTGCTCGACAGAAACGTCAAGGCTACAGTAAGAAGGTACAACATCTACTACACATGTGCTTGTATTTTAAAATACTGAGAACCAGAAGCTCTAAATAACAGGAGTGCCATGATAAGACCAAAGCTACACCTGACTCAGCCTTCCTCTGTACAAAAAGAATGCCAGCTGAGTCATTAGTATTTTACTTGTGTTCTGCACTTAAAAAAAAAGTTTTCCTTAGATTAACAGTTAGCCTCTTTCTTCCTTTAAAGGTATCCTATATTTGAGAATCCCTATCCTTTGACTATACATGAGTCTCCAGTTACCTGTTGTGAATATTTTGCTGATTGTCCTGTGGATCTCATACCTGCACTCTATTCAGTTGGTGCTCGACAGAAACGTCAAGGCTACAGTAAGAAGGTACAACATCTACTACACATGCTTGTATTTTAAAATACTGAGAACCAGAAGCTCTAAATAACAGGAGTGCCATAAGACCAAAGCTACACCTGACTCAGCGTGCCTTTGACAGTGGCTAAGAGCAGGAGACAATCTGCAGTATCTGCAGTAATTTGCCTTAACTTTGCATTGTATGATATTTTCTTCCTCAGTGTATTTGTTAATCTTCCAGGAATGGCCTATCAGTGGAGGCAACTGGGGTGTGATCACTCAGAGCTATTCAGAGATCATTATTACAGGGTAAGTGATACCATAGTCTACTAATCACTTTCTTAGCTCATTAAGTAGAAGTGTAGAAGTGTCAATTTTTTGTTTCTCTTTTAAAATATTGTTTTGTATGAGTGGTTTGAGTGATTAATGAAATTATGATCACCAGATATGTCCTTGGCATAATCTCCTTGACATGTTACTGAGAAAGTAAAGCAGAATGTGAAAGGGAAGGTATCAACAAAATGATAGCAGGTGTTTTACAGGCATTATGATTATTATTATTATCATTATTATATGTGCTTCCTATCAAAGTATATTGGATCAAAATTACCTTTTATTCTTTGATTTATGCAAAATACCTGAGTATTGTTTTAAAGTAGTTAAAGTAATATTTAAGTCGTTATTGAGTTCAGTTCTCAAAGAGAAGCCAATTTTTTATCTCAAAAAGGACAAGCAAATACTTAAATCTGATCATTTTGATACTGATCTTTCTAATACTACTGTAAGGAACATAAGTGAAATTTAATTTATAACTGTGCAGTGTATCACTGAAAGTGAGAGCACTGCTGAAGTGGTTTTAGAACAGCCCATTAGCCCGAATCAGGATTACTGTCACCTTGTACTACACATTGCAGAGACTTTGAGATGGTCATGAAAAAATTTAGTCATCTGATTTTCAAACTCAAGACTAAATAAACATGTTAGGTGACTCATTAGCAGTGGGATACTGTATATTTAGGCATCTTCTTAGAAGTGTTGCTCCTAATATAGGGCATCTTTCAAAAAACAGTGCATGGTAAGGTATGCCTCAGTATTTAAAATGGTAAATGAATATGTCACAATGGAATCATCAGGAAGTTAGCTTTCAAATGTTTTTTTAGTCTCTTCTGTCCAAAGTAATTGGAGCACATGTTGGTAAAATACCAGCTTTTAAAAAATTGTGAAAATCAGATATCACTAAAAAGACTAATAAAAATAGAATATTAACTGTGTACTCTCCCATAGAGGTCAAGCACTCCAACTAATCATTTCATCATCTCATTTTTTTATATTTCATAGGCATGCTGATGGATCAATCAAGTTTTGGGATGCATCAGCAAGTAAGTGTTTTCAGTAGAGATTTTTCTTGTGCAGTTGTAGATTTTTCTTCTGCAGTTAAAGGGTCAATTACATCTGATATTCTACACAGCTCACAGTGAAAAATGCAGCAAGAATTCAAAGTAGAAATGATTGCACAAAGTTAGATGTTTGAATTGCTCTAGTTGGAACTAAGCTTACTCTTGGTACTTAAAGGCTGTTTAAAGCAATCTTGGGATCGTCATCATTTGTCTTTGAAAACTTGTGGAAAACTGGTGAGCTTCCAAAAGGCTAAGGCGTGTGTGGTTGTGGGAGGAAGCAGATGCAATGTATATGTTTAAAAGCTGGGAGGAGGACTGTTTGGAGTGTTATAGATCTTTAATTTCGGTTTGGAGTGGGAGTGGAACCTGGGAAAGAGGAGGGGGTAAGCCAAACCTGCTTGATTGTGTGCTTAAAAATTCTATTCAGCATAGATCTGTCAAAAGGAGATTCTGTTAAAGTTACTTAGTTTCTTTCTAAAACAGATAAATAAACCTGTTAAGGGAGAAATTGCAAGTATCCTCTTTATTATAGATTCAAAAACTTCTGAGTCTTTCTAATGTGACAGTCTTATTGATGATCTAGGGAAATGTGATTCAGATAAAACCAATGAAATATGGAAGAGGAGAAGGCATGCTGTAATTTAGGTTTTCCTAATGTTGTGATTAGTATTTATAGCAGTAATTTGGGCCATTGATAGGATAATGCGCCTGTGAAGTTTTGAAATCAGCATGAAGACAATTGAAAGAAAATCTAACACAGAATTAAAATTTCAGTTGAGAAGGATACAATTCAAGAATTAGCTGTATCAATATATTAGCTATATGTTTAGCTCAAAACTGATTTTTCTCTTTTGCTTTGTTCTAGTAACGCTGCAAGTACTCTATAAGCTAAAAACAGCCAAAGTATTTGAAAAATCACGGAATAAAGATGAGAAGCCAAACACAGATATAGTTGATGAAGATCCATATGCTATTCAGATCATCTCATGGTGTGCAGAAAGTAGAATGCTGTGCATAGCTGGAGTTTCTGCACATGTCATTATTTACAGGTTCAGCAAGCAGGAAGTGACCACAGAAGTCATTCCGGTAAAGAGTTATGACCATTTTTTAACTTTGTAGGATTTAGCTATAATAAGACTGTTCTAACAATTTCTTATTCTTTTTGGTTTTAATTACATTAGTGAAATGGACAAAAATAATTGACTTAAAACAGATGAGAGTTTTTGGAGAAGAAGTAATTAATTATAAAATTCAACAAAAGTAAATATTGCACACCGAGATACAGGTTTTCAGTGACATTTTGAGGTTTTGCAGCCAATAATCATTCTTTGGTATATCTATGAAAACAAATAGTGTATCAAAACTTGGCTGTATCAAAGGTATAATGAAAACAGAAGAGGATGACCTATGGAGTTGAAGAATTTCAAAGCTTTTAGGGAGTTGATCGCTTGAGTCTTCATAATTGCCATCTGTCCTATCAAAACTTCTGCAGTATGCAGAACTAGAAGAATAAAAATGTGCCAAACATGCCTTGAAATCTGTTAAGAACTTTGCTGTGTCACTATTTTATTCTGTATAAGATACAGTGAATCGATTACAAGAGTTGAGAAGTTTCTTGTTAAATCAGAAACACACACATGCAAATTTGTGTATTTGAATGTATGAACTAAAACTTAGCATTTAATTATAAGGTGTTGCCTGTTCTAAGCATTAATTGCAATGTAGTTTTGTTTTTTCTCTCAACCCTTGCTCCAACACACACACCCTCCCCTCCCTATTCTGCTCGCTTGTAAGTTGTAGTTTAAGGACCTGAGGTGTGTAGCTTTCATTATGTGTTTTTTATGTACAAGTGCATTCCCTTCTTAGGGAATAGTTTTTTCCTAAGTTTTTATAATCAGCCCAAATCAAGTTAATCTTCAGTACTCTTCAACAGTATTTAAAAAAATACTATATAGTTCTCTGTTCTGTAATTCTAAACTCTTTGAGTTAAGTTCTGTTTTGCGGATGATAATGAAACAGTTGAAAACTTCCTTTACACTGCACTGCTGTTAATTCTGATGTTGTTACAGATCCTGGAAAAGGAAATCTAAAGTCATGTTGAATTTAAAATTCAGCTCTTTAAAGTGTATGATCCAGTTCAACACAACATCAAATGCCGAACTATGTCACCATGTGTACAGTATTTTACAGCAGTAAAAATTTAGCAATCTGTGTGGCTTTAGCTCTGTTTTACCATTCTTGAAGTACATAAACCAAGTCATCTTCATAGCTAAATATGTATGTCAGCAGAATGATAATTAAATAAGTCCAGTATTTAATTTCTTTCACTATTAAGAAGCAAACTTTCAAAAACTGGAAAATATGTCAGACATTCAAGTTCTAGCTGTCTTCAGATATTCAGTCTGTAATAGTATGACTCTGTACTTCTGAAAACCACGTGTCTTTGTTACACTGTTTATTAAATGGTTATCTTTCAAAAAATGGAAAAGTTCTGGGTGTCACTTTTATCACTACTGCTTCACTTGCACTTCATTTATTTCATATTCAGTGTTTTGAAAGGCAGACTTTACTGATATGTTTGTTTCCTTTAATTAACAGATGCTGGAAGTACGTCTCCTATATGAAATAAATGATGTTGAAACTCCAGATGGTGAGCAGGTGCCACCTGTACCAACTCCAGGCACAGGTTCCAATCCCCAATCCATTGTTCCCCAGTCTCATCCATCTACTAGTAGCAGTTCATCTGATGGACTTCGTGATAATGTCCCATGTTTAAAGTAAGTTTATTCTGTTATGCTTTCAGTGAGTCTGAAACATTGCAAGATTATGTCAGAGTACATGTACTTTGATATCGTTACAGATATGTCATTGCTGGTGAAAATGTTTTATTTTGTAAAGCAAAGTTTTCCAAGTATCTGAAATTTGAGCTCTGCTTTAAGAAATAAATACTGAATGTTAATTTTTTAAACTTCTTAAGCTGACTTAAAAAACAATCCTTGCCTTTTGGTTTACCTGATTTTAGGAGAATTTGGTATAGATGTTAGTATAGTGATAGATGATCGTGCCTTAGAGCAAACCGTTTTTAATAGCAGCAATTCAGTCACTTTGATCTCTTATTGTCCTTGAAATGAATAGGTAAGTTGATGCTCTGTGGTTCTCCTTAACTTTAGACCAAGTATGTCTGAATATGTTTCATCCATTAGTTTTGCAGAGCCTAAAGTTTTAGAAGCAAATCAGAAGTGAAAATTCTTGCAGATAGGTGGCTGAGTGCTGACTCTTTAGGCTTATAAACATATTTCTTTTTTGAAAATCATGCTAGGGAACAACTTTGCGTTTTGGAAACAGAATTAATTAAATGTCCCTTTGTCATGGATCTGCACTTTGCACGATGCCTAATAGTGCTCTCATTGTAGGTCTTTGACAAGTTTTTTAATCTTTTTAAATTGCAAGCTTTTTCTGCAACCTTCTTTCTGTGAGCTTGTACTCATTTAGAAAAATTAGAGTTTAAAAAGTCTATCTTTTTTTACTCTCCTACGAGAGTGCGTTATGGGACTTATGAGCCATGACTTTTTCTAACGGAATGTAAGAAATATGGATTATATAACTAGAGATATAAAGTATATACCTTGTTTTCTGAAGTTTAAGATCCCAATTGGGATTTTAATTCTTTGAGTGTATCAATTTAGAAAACAGTTCTGATATGGTTGCTGTATTTGGGTAAGAGTTTTCAAATTATATTGGTTGTACTGAGTTGGAGGGGTGTATTTCTGAAGGAAATTCATCAAAGTAGAAAAATTGGAAAATTCTAAACTTATGTAAAATATTTTCAAATATTTTTTCAAATATCAATTTCAAATTTCCATTAGTGAGAATAAATGGGTAAAATAAGTGGAACTGGGGAGACAGAAGCTTGTTCTACATAAAATTTGTTGTGTAAGAAAATACAATACCTAATCTTTTCTGCTTATTTGTCAGCATGCAAGCAAAGTCTTTACAAGAGTTTCAATTCTCCCAGTCCCAGGTTCATTGCATACAATTGGTCTGCCATTACAATAATTTTCTTGTTTTCATTTTAGTTTTGCCATATCCTCAGCTTTTTATTTGCATTTATCTCAATACATTTTGTTTCTGTTTCCCTTGTCATTGTGCTTATTCCATGTACACCTCTCAACCTTTTCTGTTCTCTAAATCAGAGTTATTTTGGAAACTCTGAAAAAAAAACGTAACTCCTTCTTTTTTAGACACTGACTGAGCACCTATATCTATTAAAGGAAATACAACATAATAGCACTGTTATGCCTTGTTCTGAGGTTGGAAAAAATGAAAAATTTGTGATCATTGTTCAATTAATTTTCAATTAGGTAGTGAATAAAAAAGTGAATTCCTAGTGTCAATTTTTCTTCTGTTTTTTTCTTCTGGTTGCTTTTATTTACTTTTGATCATAGTTTTTACAATTTTTCAACATTTTGAAGTCCAGTGTAGTGTAGAATTTAATGAATTCTGATCCCATAAGGAAAAAATTGAGACACTGAAATGTGACACTCCATGTCTTGTTTACTTTGCAGAGTCAAAAATTCTCCTCTCAAGCAGTCTCCAGGCTACCAAATTGAGCTCGTTATCCAGCTGGTGTGGGTGAGTGGGGAACCTCCTCAACAGATAACCAGCCTAGCCATCAACTCAGCATATGGCCTGTAAGTGTATTCTGCACATCTCTTCCATTATTCCGTCACAGTGGTTTAAAACTATCCATTAAAACTGAGTCTCTGTGTGTGTTCACATGAGCTGCACAGCAAAATAGAGGTAATCACTTTCTTATGCTATTGAGAGAATTCCTTTTGGGTCATGGCAGATGCTGATGATGCTAACAGCACAAGCAGATCAGCATTGTTCTTCCTCACCTGGCACTGTACAGCCAAGAGTAAGTGTCACTTAAGGCTCTGTGTCAGATAGGTTGGCAAGGACACTGAGACTGGTCTGTTCTACTCAGCACCATGTATGAGAGAAGAATTAATCAATACTACACTCTAAAATAGGAATTTCTAAATAAGTGCAATCTAGGATAATTCCTAAAAATTAGGAAGTATTAAATGCTGTACTGCAAAAAATATTTGTATGAAGCATTTCCAACGTTTCATTAGCATTGTTTTTCCTTTAACTTCTCTTTTTCCAGAGTAGTTTTTGGAAACTGTAATGGTATTGCCATGGTTGATTACCTCCAGAAGACAGTGCTCCTGAATCTAGGCACTATTGAACTGTATGGCTCCAATGATCCCTATCGCAGGGAGCCACGATCTCCCCGAAAAACTCGGCAGCCATCTGGAGGTGGGTAACCCAAAAGATATTTTAAGCTCAGAAGAAAGGCTCATCTACTCTTAGTGTGTATTCTTTGAATACAAACATTCTTCACTGTGGTTTTCTTTCTTCTTTATCTGTTGCTAGTGTCACTATTGCAGTTCTGTTTATACATCTTTCCTTAAAAATTGTTGCTCAGTGGAATATACTGATGCTTCATACCATTACTTATTTTTCAGTGTAATGTGTATTTTAAGAAAAAAAAGTCAATTTACAATGGATTTATGCAGTTTACAAGAATTTACATAGCATGAGGAAGTATCCTGATATTTCTGATAAAGCTAGTACCCATATTACATGTTTATGTAAATCCATTAATGTTTGCAGGATAGCCTGAGTGTTTGCTGGGATCTTTTGACTTCCTTTTTTAAAATTTGACTAGAAATGTCACTGATGAGCTAAACCATGTCATGTTGTTAATACTGTTATTTTATGCTTGAGAGAGATTGAAATGAACAAAATAAACTTCTACATACAAATTGGTAAAATAAATCCCTTTGAAATAGAAAGAAAAAGGACTTTGATTTTAAAATATGCTGAAGAGTGTCCTTTTTCAGCTAAAAAGGAAAGTGACTTTCAATCAAAATGCAAAGCTTTTTGTAACCAAAGGGAAAATTTAGTATTTTAAAATTTTCTTCTCCCTGATGTGTCGTGAATACTCCTAAGTTATTTCAGAAAACAGCACAAGGCATGATAATAAACTGTTGAAAAAAAATATTCCTCATGATTGAGTGTTACTTTCTTTAGGAGATCCAGAGTAAAGTCCTTGTAAGTTCTTCAGGTAATATTTTATTCAAATTGAAATGGATGTTCTAAGAGGTAATGGATATAGTAAATGGATGGTTTGAAAAAGATCCAGTTAACACCAGTCAGCTTATTTCAACTGAGGAATTGGATCTAAAAATCGTTCATATAGAGCAGGGCATACACAGTTGGTATCCTGTCAGATAAAATATTTTCTTGTGTGATATAAACTGTGAGAGAAAGAAATAGCTTTACTGTTTGACTGTGTTAATTTGTCCTGGGAGTAAAGGGCTTACATTCTGCCTGATGCATATAGATTATAAACTGCCTTTTGGAGCTTTAAACATCACTTGCCTTTGTTTTCTTAACTGATGTTATTTTAATCCAATAAATTGGATTCACATAACTCTGTGTTTCAACTCTGTCTCTAAGATGTTCATGATGAAAGCCCTTTTTGCTCATTAGTATAGCTGTTATATGAAATTGTATTTTTTTCATCTTAACTTCTGATACTAACAATCTGCATGGCAATGGCATTTTAATAACCTGGTTGTACAAGTTACTTGGCTGGCTTTTCTGTCTCAAAAGTACTGTTAGTGTCTCCGTGTTTCCTTTTCTCATTGCTTCATGAAGGTATGCTGACTGTGGCTTCTTGCATGTGCGGCCTTTCTAACTTATATTCAGAGTCTGTGAAAAAGCTTCGCACCTCTTATATAAGTAAGTCATCTCATGGCATTCAAATATTTTTTGAGCATCTGAACTTGATTTTTTTGTTTTGTTCACTCACCATAATTATTTTCTTTAGCTCTTTTTAAGTAATTGTTTTACTTATCGAAACTGGTTTCAATCCATCCTGCATCCATCGTGTTTCTCATTCATGTTATCTTTAAAAGAAATTTAAAGGAAAAAAGCAACCATAATAGTGTCTGTATTTTGTGTTTTTAGATAAATAAATCTCAAAATCAAAAGGAGATCCTATCTCAGAATTTGCTGGTGTTTATAGAGCTAAGATCTTACTCAAAAATTTAGTGTTACGTTACTAGAAACTTTCCTTGCATGGTTCCCTTTCTGGCAGAAAAAGCTTCAGAAGTCCAGAGTTAGAGTTTTAGTAGCAATGATAAGAATAAACATTCTGATTATAGAGAGATTCTTCTTCTAAAAGTGAAAAGTCACTTCTACAAAAATGTTGTTTATAGGGATTAAGAGGTGTTTGTGAACAGCCCTGTTCAGTTTCCAAGCAGCTTTGAAGTTCAGGTATCTGTGTGAGGAAGGTAAGCCATCAGAACCATGAATTACCCGAGAGAGACTGACTTACGACATCATTCACAGCATTCAAGAATCTGGAGAATGTAAAGCTTATTTTTTAAAAGCATAGCATTGTTCCTTTTCTTAGGATGCCAGTTTTCTTCAGCCCTCAGGCAGAGGTAGGTAATCTCAGCCCTTTTTTTAATGAAGTAGAGCAGATTAAGCTACTGTAAAAATGGAGTTTTAAAAGAAAAACAGCAAACAAACAAAACTGCAAAACAAACTTGAAATTGTGGTCTGAGTCATAGTTCAGCCATTTCTTTTCCCCCAACAAGAAAAAAGAAATACATCTCAGAGGATAGTCTCAATTGCCAAATACTGGCTTCTCTATAGTCTTTCCTCCTCTACTGCCATGGCAGAAAGGGAGCTAGGCATAAAAGAAATGCCTCCACCTTAAGATAGTACAGAACTGAAAACCAGGATCTGGCACTGATTGATTATTTTTTTGAAAAAAAAAAATATAAAGATGGGTAGAAATCCCAAAACCAGTAAATATTGTAAAGCTGAATTTACTTGGACTATTTATTTAGGAATAAGTTTAAACAAGTTTTGTATCTGAGATTTAATTTTATAACCCTGTAATTCTCTTTCTGTTTAGCATCCTGACAGTATCTGGGTTAACTGGAGCTATAGTTGTTTTAAAAACTGAAAATAATTTCTTTAGTTATCATTTAACATTTTTCATTATTTGTAGTTCTTTCAGTGTATGTGTTGCCTAGACTTCAATAATTGCTTCAATAATTTTCCACAAATAATGAGTCTGATATATTTAAGTACTACCCTTTGATTTATTTATAGGATTGGAACTATATGAGATAGAACACTTTGGGATTTTGCATTCTCCCTTTCTTGAACATTCATTATCTGCATTTAGTGTTTTCAAAAATGTGAGGAGTTTATGCTGCCTTGTTTTTGCTTTGAAAGATGTGCCTTCATTGAATCTCTATCTTGAAAACATTTCTATTTTAATACTTCAAGATTATTTTTATCTATGAATAAGATATTTTCAATGGCTATACAACTAATAATCTTCAGGGAGTACTAGTACTTAATATTTAAATCTTCCTAGAAAAAGTGTTTTTCTATCTAATGTGGTTGGTTCAGAAAATTCCTATTCTTTGAGACAACAACAGTGTATTTAAGGGAAAAAATAACCATACTAGCTTACATATGCATTCAGGCAGCCTGCCACAGAGCAGCATATTGCTATTGTACATTCAACCACGTCCAGAAAAAGCAGGAAGGATTGGTCCTTCATCATCAAAACCTGGATATTCTGTATGTTTCAGCATAAAATGTCAATTCAATAGATTATCAGTATATGCCAGCATACTTAAGATTTAGTAAATGCTATGTCCTTAATCAAAGAACTAAAAATTTGCAAAGGCATCTTTTAAAAAATTTCATAGAGTGAGAGTTACATATCTTCTAAAATATGAATGGAAATGCAAGCTTTTTTTCCCTTCTTTTGTGTTGCAAGAATATGATGTATTTCTCTGTCATCTTATTTTTTCTACTCAGAAAAGAAATTCAGATTCCCGTCTTAAAGCAGCATCTATTTAGAGACAAGGCTCTCTACACTAGCTAGACTGTAAAATGTCATTTCAGGCTAGCTCTACAGATACAAGCTCCCAGTTGGGATCGTGTTTTGGAATTTATCAGTGATTCATAACAGGTATACTACTCACATGTTTTGGGTGGCAATTTATAGTTTGTGAAGCATGCAGTATATGTGTTTTGTTAAGGCCTGCCAGACAGTGTCATCAGGTGCTTGTCAAGGTTAAAATCAAAGTTTGCCTTCAGAGTCGTATAGTGAGGGGGGAGGGTGTAGAAAATCAACTTTGGCCGTGTGCCCAAAGACATGAAATGTGTAAGTAAAAGTTTATAGTGTGATGAAAACTATACAAGATGTAGGCTTACACTGTTAGGTGACCTTTGATTGAGGTACTCTTGGCTAAATAAGACAGGAGTCATTAAATCAGTACTGATAAAAAAATGAGACAGGTCATAATTTCATGATGAAACATCAAAACTTATATAGCTGTTATTTTTTCCTGCTTAGCTCCATAAGTTCAGAGAACATCAATCATAACTCTTTTTTTGCAAATTACTGTTGGTGAGAGTTACAAGATTTTATGTGACTTTTTGATTAGTGCAATTTAGTACAACTCTTTAAAAGTTAGTATTTCTTAGTTGTCCCAGAGGCAGTTTAGGTTTCTGACAAAAATTAAGCAGTCCTTACCTGCATGTGACTTTTTGAAATTTTTATTTTACATCAAAAAGCTTTTTGACAGTAATCTGTGAATGATTCAAAAAGTGGGGTGGAGACAAACTGGAAGAAAATACATGCCAGGAACTCCTCTGGAGTTGCTTGGTCATGTTCTTTTTCCCATTCACCTTCACGCACTATTTGAATTTTTAGCTTAAATGTCATGAGACCAACATCAGTTGTGACTGACATCAGCCAAGGCCAAAACTGTATCAGAAAGTTTTATTGTTGGACTTGGGGTTCGGGTTTTTTTCACTCTGTTTTTCAGGTTGTTTTTAATTCTAACTTTTACATCATATCAAGTTAGCTTTATTTGTAATTTTTAATTGCACTGTTTTCAGTCAAATTGTAGCTTCTTCTGAGATATTCCTGCTTAAAGCTTGTGCAAAAAAATGACTAAGTCTCATGAAACTTTATATATCAGTTAATTTCAGTGGTAATTCTGTGGAGTTTTTAATGCAATATGGTAACGATGTCTTCAATGACATTATTAAATTTTTGGTAATTTGGCGAGTTTCTAATTTTCTTGCTTCTGGAGTTTGCAGAGATAAACTAAAATATTATTAGGAGGTCACTTGTACATGTATTGGTGTTATAGAAGGATGTAGTTTTATTTCTGAAACAGAAACTCTTGGATCAATTTTCTTTTGTAATTCATAGCAATTTGCATGCAGAGAATTTTTCCAGGAGAGCTGTCTTGCTCCCAGTGCTTCTATCAGTAAACCTGGGGTTTTAAGATGAACAGCAAGAGATTATCTTGCAAGTTTCTTCGGCTTGGTCGTGGGCAGACCCTCCTAGTTCACAAACTTAGATCGTTCTTGTTATACTCTGCTCAGTTTAATTACTAATGCAATCATAGCTAAAATTACTTTTCATCTATTCCTGTTCCTTTTCTCTCCTAAGTAATAGCAGTAATGGCTATGAACAGATATCCAAGATTTACATGCCATAATGATTACCATAATGCACACTTATTCTCATTATTAATTAAGATGTATATTAATCAAACTATAGCCTTGAGAGTTCCTACAAAAAATTCAAGTGTGCAGGTGTCTTCATTCTTGGCTAAAGACTATTGCTGTCAATTAATGAATTTTCATAGGAGAATTTGTACAAGAAGTTAAAACTCGTCTTTTGAAGGTAAAGAATTAATCTTTATTGGAAAGGAGGAAATTGTGTTCCTGAACTGCATGTATGAATTTATTTGGTTTGGCTCCTGAGGGTGCAACTACTTCGAAGAGCACATTATGGGTTTATCCTCCCAGCACAGCTCTCATCTAAAACTTGTATTGCTTGTTGTGAAAGCAACTTTAGGATTTTTCAAAAATCTTTTTACACAATCCTGTCTAGTTCAAAACATTTAGTCTCCTGTGCCTGTTTAAAACTCTGGTATAAAGCTCTCATTATCCCATAGTGTTCATTGATTTACTGACAGATGACTAAATAAATTGCTCTTTTCTTTCTCCTGCGTAGTGGAAAGATATAGCTTCCACCTGGAATTCCATTTGACATTTTAGAATTTAAATTGGTTCCAGGACTGTTAAATGTTGGGTTAACAAAGCCTTAAGGTCATTTGATAATTCTAGTCATTGAGTTTTGGGGTTTAAGCTATACATGCTCTTAGTGATCTTAAAAAAGACTATTTTGGATAAATGGAACTGTTAATGTAACATACTTTCAATGTGTTCCATATTGATATGTCATTTCAGGAGAACCTTTTTCCCTTTAAACTATTAACTTCTGATTAAGTGTTTGGAAATTTTAAAACTTTGATGGAGTAGAGCTGTTGTATTTTTGTTGGTTAACAGATATGTACAGATGCACTGGTGAATGTGTAGTGTGCAGTTGTATAGACAGGCTTTCCATGTGATACCTTTCTTGCCTTAGCCATTATCATTAACACTCAAACTTTTTGAGTGTTGGAAATATTTGTGTGCATGCAAAACTCTGTAATTTTAGCAAATATTTCTTAGTTATTACTGTTCAGTATTGTTTGCCTGATTCATGCTTGTTTGCCTTAGTATGACGTCATGAAATTTCTGTAGGAAAGCTTCATGATATAAACCTAAAGATCCATTACTAACTTTAAAATATCAACAAAATGCACTTCTCTTAATTGTGGACAGTCTTGACAGCAATTTCTTGTCAAAATTGAAATAGAAAATTTCTTGTATGCTTTTAATTTATGCAATTATTATTATATTTAGGACCATTTTGAGGCAGCTTCCATCTTTTGCATTTGATTGTGTATGACTAAGTTTTATTGCCTTCACTGGAATGAAAGAACTGAGCTTTCAGATGTTCACATACTGCAGTTATTCAAATTGATCAGATTTGATGCTGTAAGAAATTTAGTGAAATTCTTCCATGCAAGGGAGAACACCTATGAATACCCTAACACCTGAGTTCTCCAAGTGACACCAATAAGGAGTTTTTCTGGAAAATTAACTTGGCAATGCAAATTGGCAAATACGGGCATATCACTGTAACAGTGGAAAAGTAGTTTGGAAAAAGGCACTGTAGTTTCACACATCATGTTTGTAATCTTCAAGACTCTCTTTTATATTATTTTCTTTTGCAATTACATTTTTAATATAACTGATTTTTTTCAAAACAAATTATGTTTATGCTTAATGTATACCTGTAGAATGTAAATAATTAACTGTTTTGATAAGTCTGTCTAGCTGAAAATATAATGGATTTCACTGAAATTTATTGGTAGTGTGTGTTTTGCAAAGAAAACTTCAGTAGGAAAAAGTGACTCTACAGTTACTGTGGGTAATGTCAAAAAGAGTAGTATGTAACAGAACTTCTATCACAACTGGCTTGTTTGTCTCTAATAAGAAATTAAGTTCCTGACTGCAGTGGAAGTAAAAATAAAATGGGAACTGTATTTATAATACACTGGTTTTATGTTTCAGCAGGTCTGTGTGATATAAATGAAGGTACGGTGGTGCCAGAAGACCGCTGCAAGTCACCCACGTCAGGTAATCACAACTTTCCCTGATCTTCAGCTTCTTATTTTCCCAGAAGATGGCATGTGTTAAGTTAACACTTACTAGTTAAGTAATTGTATAAAACCTGTTGTCCTCTCACAAATTTTTGGAAGTGTCATAAATTTTGCTATCTTGAACAACTGCATTTTTAAAATAAGGCTGACTTAAGAGATGCAATAGGGATGTGTCACAAAGATGATTGCAGAGAGAATAAGCTGAAATATTTATGCCTTAGGGAACATACTGCACAATGGAATTTTGAAGCATTGACAAGAGATGCACAAATTCCTGTAACAATTTGTGTGATTGTGTTTCATATCCCTCAGAAGTGGTAGAGATTATTTCTGAGCGAAACCAGCATCCTGAGAAAGTAGGAGTTCCCTACTTAATACTTAAGGAGTGCTTAATACTCCTCCTCCTGCACCCTTTTTTTTTTTTTTTTCAGTTTTCCAGTTGCCACTGTTGCATGTGAAAATTTTAAGTGAAACCTTCAAGATTAATTATTTTCATGTTGGCTAGTTGAGGCTATAACCATGTAAATACTTAATAATGCATGTCAATGCATAGAGTGAATAGTTTTTATAGTAGCTAAAAATTGTCACTTCTCTTTACTTATTGCTTGGAGAACTTCTAAAGATGTCATTTTGTTTCATTCAAAACTACTCAAGGCTAAAGGACCCAACTGCAGATTTAAATGAAGCACGTAAAATAGTATGTAGTGTAAAATGCTAACTAAGATGGGAGTCTAAAGATCTTTTCTGTTGTAGCCTGTATCTTTCAAAGCCAAATTGAAAGCATAACAAACCAAGACATTGTGTTTGTAGCACTAGTAGAAATTTTAACATAAATTTTAATTTCTAATTTGACAATTGTATTTTGGTGTTCATTTTAAATTATGCAAAACACACCTCTAGATCAATCAATGTCATTTTCATTTTTGCTAGCTCTTTCTTAGAGTAAATTTGATTTATTTATAATTAAAGCAAAACCTAGATGTGAGTTTTAGTTAAAAGTCTTGCCTGAAGATGTGATTTTATGACAAATCTGTGTTGTGAAGTATTGGCATGCTGAAGTCATCAACTTCAGTGTAGTTTATAATGAAAGCTTTTTTATGGTGTTGAGAATCAAGATCATGTTTCCTATTTCATTTTTATATACTGAGACCAATGCCTGTAAACAATTTGCTCTACATTGCTGCAGTTGCAGTAAATCCTTTGTCTGTCAGGGTTGAGCATAGTTATCAATTCACTATGGCATTTGAATTTGACCCAGTTAAAAAGTCCGGGCTAAATCTAGGTTCTGGAACACTAGAATGTCTGCAATGAACAGCTAATGAATCATAACTTTAAATGACCTTTTTCCCCCCTGCTCCAGACTCACCCAAATGTTAGCCCAAAGAACTCCTAGTGTGTACCACTTAAACACTTAAAACACTGTGTAGTTTAAGTAAGAGGGTTCTTTCATAATTGGGTGTTGAAGTAGAGTAAAACTCAATTCAGTACTTCTGCAACAGTATAATGAAGGCAACTCCAAAGATGAAAATTAAGCTTTATCAAAAACTCCTAATTTTAATAATTGGTTTCCCCTACCTTCCTCCTGCTTGTTTGAGTTGAGTGTGAGCTGAAGAAGGTTTAAAAATGTCTAAAGTACCAAAAATAGTGAATGGACAAAAGATAGAGGGGGAATGTAATTCTTGCATTCTCCTGTAAAATAGAAACTTCTAGTAGCAAGGCTGGACTGTGCCTTGCTTCCCTTGATTCTGTCCTTTGCTCTCAGTGAATGAGATTAAGTTTATGGTGGACTTCACAATTTTTCCTTTGAAAAAAATCTTGGATGCACCACCCTGGTGTGGAAATAATTTATTGATGCTTGTGAAGAGAGAAGAACTGCAATTCCTTAGGTTTGGTTTGAGTTTTATATCTTTTCTGGGCAAAATCTCAAGACTGAAAACAAGCTTGAAAGTGGCATTTAGCTTTCAGAGGTAAGAGAGGACCTTTTTGAGAAATTTGCTGTGGAGTATTGGTGAGCTTGAGAAGAAGGATGGAGGCTAAATTTAAGGAAACTTTTTTCAGTCCAGAGGCTTTCTAGTAAGAGAATACACAAACACAAAATGTTTGCATGCTACTAGCTCTAAGATTAGAGGATGGGATTGGCAATTGAATGCCTTATTGGCGTTCATTGTTATGATCTGTAAAAGAGACCAGTCACTGTTTGGACTGAAGTCTGCAGTTGCTTAAATCCACCTTTCCATGTCCAAGTGAAGTGGAAGGTAACTTCCATTAGAATTCCTCCAATGGGGAGTTATATAGATGAGAGGACTGCGAAAGGGACTGCCTGCCTGTGCAAGTTAGAAGGGTATCCTACCCTTCAGTAGCACAAAATTATAGGGTTTCAGTAGCACAGAAATATAGAAATACTGTGAAAATGCAGGAGGAATAATCTTACCTCCTGCTTTTTCTATGGATGTCAAGCAGTACTAGGCTTAGACTCTGGGAATGTTTATCTGACCTAAAAGATTGTACAGCATTTAAACTGTCAAGTTTTTGTCTTCAGAAGTGCCAAAATGCTTGTGTTGTATTCTGTTTTTACACTTCCACAATATAAAATCCAATTAAATTTTAAATTTTTTAGACAAATTGTTTTAATATCCTGGCCATCGTTTAATTTCATGACAATGGTAAGCCTGAAGCTGTGGTGTGTTGCTAAGATCAGTTTTTGAGGGTTGGGATACAGAAAACTCCAGGTGGCACTATTGGCTCAGAGATGTCTGCAGAGTAGTTGAAGAACTGTGGTCCAACAATAATTTACTGCACTGGAAAAAAACCCCAAACAGATTTATAGAACTTGTGTTTATTGTTCCAGCTGTGTTTTGTGAATCATAACTTGGGCTAATCTCTGTGTCTGGAGCAATGATTAGTAGAGCCATTTAGTTATTCAGTGTAAGCATTTGTTCAATGAGGACATTATTTCTAGCAATAAACTCACTGCAATGTGCAGCATTGTACCTTGCATTGTAAGTTCTATGGCTAATTCCAATATGCCAGAATTGTGTCATGCCAAAGTAATTTGTACTTTATAATATCTAATACAGCTACAGAGAATACCAATATCAGTATTTGATATTTTCTTTGTATCTTTGTTAAACTCAGATCTTGTATATAATTTTGTATATTATGTATATACATATATTGTATAATATATGTATATCTTAAGTGCATTAATATACATTGATTTTTGTGTCAAAGCTGTATCCCCTTCATTCATGTCAAATGTATATCCATTTCATTCTGTCTCCACTTGTAGGTTCTGGTTCACCAAACAATTCTGATGATGAACAAAAAATGAATAATTTTATAGAAAAGGGTACAGTATTTTTCTTTTCTTTAGTCTTATTTTTTCTTTAGTTCACCTTTTGGTACACTTAGATTGATTTTTTTTTTTTTATTATAATATTATTTACAGTGAAGACCAAAAGCAGAAAGTTTTCCAAGATGGTAACCAATGACATAGGTAGGAACTAGAAAAAAACCTACTCTTTCTAATTCAGTGCCTTACTCTATGCAGCACTAACCCAGCAGCAAAAAAAAAGGCAAACAGTCAAATTTCAATGCATTCTGTTATTAATTTTTTCATTCTTTACTCTACTTGGTAATTCTGTGGGCTGCTTCTGTACTAAATACACTGGGCATAATAATCTAAAAAATCAAGGATATTGGTGATTTAAATTCTCTGATTTTGCAGTTGCACTTCTCTTTTTCTATATGGATGAAATTCTAATACATAGTAAGAGTTCAGTCTATACAAGTCACAACATGATTCCACTATTTTGTGAAGGTGCGCTGGTTTTGGGAACATTTGGCTGATGCCATTTCTTTTTTATATGTTGTATTCATGGCCATATGGTCAGATTTTTTTATATGGCTGTGGTCAGGAAAGAGGTACTATCATGGTTTCATTTATTCATTTGGAAGAGGACTGGCTTGTATATGTATAAGTATTCCCCACTGCTGTTCCAGAGCTGTATTTTTTTTGCATCTAACAGTGGCACAATACCTTACCAGCTCTAAACTTGTGTCTTAATTTGGTAACAAAATTGCCCTGGGATATGTTGTATGCAGGTAGATTGAACCCTTTCACGGCTGGAATGGAAATAACTCTGCTTCTGACAACTGGCTCATTAAATAAATGAAAGCAAGAGGCTGTATGATTTAGCTTTGGGAAAGGGACTCTTCTTCCTTAACTTTGATATGGTTACTTTGATTGCAGAATCACTTTGCTACTGTTCATTTTGTTTTCATTTAGCAAATTAGTATGTCATTGTAGGATAATTTCATTTTATCTCTTCAGTCAGTTTAGGTTGAAATTACATAGCAAAACTACTTGCTAAGCCACTATTTCACAGGTTGTGTGGAAGCATAGCTTGAAGGAGGAAGAGATTTCTTTTCCTGAAGTCTCCCTTTTGTTTTTCTGTTTGGCAATTTAAATTTTATCCCAAAATATTAATCCCTTTCATCATAATTCAGTATTTGAGGCAAAGAATCGTTCAAAATTCAGGGAGACAAACAGGAGTATGACAGAGTAATCCTTGAAATTTGAGAATGAGCAAGTACTGTACAAAGGGCATATTTTTGCTTTATGTTGAGATCTTCTTGCAAGGACATCAGAAATGGCAGAGAAAATTAGTTTTGGGGCAGAAAAAGTGTGAATATAAGTCAAGAAAGCAAATTACTGTCAATAATACATTATGTGAATTCATCTGTAATTAAAAAAGAAATTAGTGCCTTTTACATGAGCATTCAAATGTTCCCCTAAAGGAATTTCAGGGTAACTAGAACCTAATGTTCAGGTTGAGAAAAACAACACCTAATCTCGTGCGTGTTAAATCAATGTCCTTTGAGGTAGTTTCCCTTTTGTCTCTTATGAAAATAAGACACACTGTCTTGTGCAAAATACATGGAAAATTTGACTGACTGCAACCTCGATTTTTTTTCCACTTCTTTTGAAATAGTTATGTTAGAGCATTAATAAAGTATGCTAATGAGGACTCTATAGAGCCATTCACATCTGTTTCAGCTGGAAGCCTTTCAACTGAAAGTGTTTGAAATGTATTTCACAGCTAAAAAAAGCAAAACATTTATATATAAGCAATGCATTCTTCAGGATGTAAGTTATACTGTGATTTGTGTAATTTGCACAGTTTACTGGAAGCTTAAAGATAATTATTTATTTTTCATTTTCATAGTTTTGAGTGGGTTGCTGTGCACTGAAGTGGTTGTTTCGCTACCATGTTTTCTATAGCTTATCTGGCATGCTTATTCTAGCTCCTTCTGAACTTATTTCTAAGCTCGTTCATGTAAATAAAACACCTTTCCTGTGTTAATAGTTGCATGGTTTTGCTTTTCATTGTTTTAAACTAAATTGACAACCAAATGTGCATGGACAATGAGTTTTGTAAAATACGTCGCTGTCATCAACACCACCATGTTGTATGAAACAAATCGTTTGCCATCAACTGTATTCTCAGGGATGAATTAGATGTATTTGATCAATATGGCATGATCATAGCTCTCTGCACTGGCATACAGAGCAATCAGTTCAAGTTCTTTCCATTCCTTGTCAATGGGTAAAACACAACCTGCTAAATGCGGTGCAAAACAGAATTAAAATAATTTCCATTGGTAATTTCAGTTGCTGTTAATATCACACATGTGTTTGCCCCATGGAAACAAGAAGCAAGGGAATGCTGCTAGCAAAGTGTGGAGTAATTTAATTTCAGTGCTAGGGCTGCAAGGTGGTAACATCATACACGCAGTTATAAACACGGAGCCACTGTCAATTTATCACTTTATGGCAACTGATGTAAAGCATCGTCATTTCTACAGATTTCTGTAACACAATATGCAAATGCTTCATGCACCAACATTTTGATCAGTTGGTCTGGCTTGTTGTCTTCTTCTAAATGCACAACTGAATGCTCAGTGCTAAGGAATGGATAGTAAATCAAGTTAAAGACCTGTCACGAATGTGTTGCTTATGGGTCATGTTTCCCTTTTGTTTGCATCAAAGATGAACTTCAAAAAAATCATAGTTAGTTGTTTCCTTGGAGATATTGAGATACTTGATTTAACTAAGCATTTCTAGAAATTTTAACAAGTGCTGTGGCCATTACTGAATCCAGCCCATTCACTTACAAATGTCACTTATTTGACGGTATAAACAATATGCTGTGAAGTAATATGAAGGAATATACTAAATGTAAATTAATTTACAGAAAGAAGAATTGGTAGAAAGTACTTATTTTCTAAGGCTGTGTCATTTTTATAGAAAGACATTGGGATCCAACTTCAGTGGAAGCAAAATCTTCAGCTTTTTTACTCATAATTTGGTAAATTAAATATTTGGCATATAGAGATACATATGATTAAATATTACAGCTACAAATTGTGTTGGAAGTTAAGATGTAACAACCATTTCTGGAAAAACCTTTAGTAAAGGTGCCTGCAAAATATGGTAGATTTTAAAATCTTTATAACTGTTCTAGTAGCCTATGTGTCAAACTTCTTCGAAAAATTGGTCTCATTTATTTCCTGCACTTTAAAATTTAAAAATAATTGCAGAGAGTATTAGTAGACAGACTTAAGCAGAGTAGATTTAGTTCCAAACTTTTGTAATCCCTGCTGTTAGTACTGACAGAAGTTTCTCATATTTCTTACATTTTAAGCATATACCTAAACTTTTAAAACATTTCTGTAGTAATTGCCATTACAGCTGTTTTAATGGAAACAAATTTTAAGATGTTCATAATTATTTGCCCTAATGTCAAAGACCATTTCTTTCAATGTGTTTTTAATACTTTGATCTAGTTTTTGATGTATACAAGTACATGTTTTCTTACAGAGTGTTATACAATGGTTTTATTATTCTCATGTGAATTTTAGAGATTTCAACATTAGTTAATTGGTAATGTAAATATTTCACTTTGGGTAGTTGTCAAATATAGAATAACTAGGGAGCTTTGGTGTCTCTAACAAATTCTAAGCTGCTTAGTTATTTCTCATGTGATGTTATATGAAATAGGCTTCATAAGTTGTTCTCTTAGTTGTCAAAGCTCCAAGACACATCTTTTTTATAATCTTTAGAATTTTATTTTAAAATAAAAGGGATGGAGAAGTCACTGTATAGCTTTAAAACTGATGTGCCATAGATTTTAAAATATGAGCTCAGGATAACCCACTGCAAATGAAATGTAACTCTTGCTGCTAAGCCACAGCTTCCTATGGTGAAGCCTTCTCAGGCTTCAGGTTTTCTTCATTGAAGTGAAGGTTGTTCCTGCTATATTGACACATAATATTTTATTGAAAGGCAGTCTTTCATATTTTAACACCTACCTTCCCAAGCCTGACCTGTGAGAAATCTCCAAGAATCCCTGGGTTTGGACCATTCTCTAATATGATACCTAATTATATACGTTGACAGAACGTGTGTGTGCACCCGTGTATTACTCTAGGTTTTCTAATATAGAGAAATATTAAATGTAAGACTAAATCCAGGCAAAACAGTCACTGTTGCCTTGAGCAGCAGTGTGCCAGGATCTCTGTCTGGCCTGCAAATGCTGCAGCAACAAGGGACATACTGAATTCTGATACAGCAGCTCCTACTGGAAGTCAGCCACGTGCAGCAGGAGCAGTTAGCATCACCTCTGTCCTGTTGTACTGCTGGAATGAAAGCCTGACACTGAATGCTCTCTCTGTAGATCTCCATTCTATACCTTCCATTTTGCTGATTTATATCTTTTGCTTTGTACAAGGTATCTAGCATGTTGCTGGTTTTCATCTGACAAAAAAACCTGAATTTATCAAAAATTGTAAAACTTAAGCCAATGTGAATGCAAGCAGGGCCTTTTTTTATACTGAGTAACTTTAGTTAAAAAGGGCTTAGCAGGTGAAATTCCTATTTTCTTACTGCATGTTTAGGCAGTTTTTTGTTATAACACAAGATGGCACCATTGCTGTTGGAATAGGTTCTTATTTCTCTTTTACATTTGAATTATTGAGGTTTCTGACACATTAACATATGTTTTGAAATGTTGGGGGTTTTTTGCACAGCACAGTAATTCACAATTTCCAGTAATTATATCCTTTTTAACAATTCTTGTATCCTCTTGTCCTATTAATGAGGCATAGTTCAGTGTATGTTGAAAATTGTCTGACAAATTTGTTTTATCTTACCAGCCTAGTTCACACAGCTGGTCTTTCACTAAGGAACAAAAAGCCAAAATTGGATCAGCTCTCAGAATCCAACACATTTGCCTATACTCGCTATTACATGTTATATTATCTGTAACTTTAGAATTTATTTTTTTTTGGTCAGTTTTCTCCCAGTTGTTAAGATTTGGCACAATGTTTCTATTTGAAAAGCCAAGAGTGACTGTACTAGTCTTCAATTAGTTAAATAGGTTATTTACACATGGAAAAAGCTGTTAAAAGCGAAAAATAGTTATTTTCTGTGTACACACTTGAGGTTTTGTTCAGTACCTCAGCTCTTATTATTTAAATGTCTAACAGAGAAAACAAGTGTTATGAGGAATGCCCATCCTGAATTTCACTGTTCCAGATGAGATTTAATGATCTCTCCAGAAGCAGTTTTAAGTTCAAGCTGACAGCAAAAAGATGGGCTCCTCATCACTACTGCTGTTGTATACCCTGGTTTTTTGTTCCTATCTCTGAGCTCTGATCTGAAATAGGAATTTATCTTGTTTGGAAGCAACCCTTGGCAGAAACATCATTTAGATGAGTTTTGGCCTCACCATTAAGTTGGGTATTTGCCAGTGCTAATGCTAGGATGGGGGTACAAAACACACAGTCAGGCTGCCCTATTCAGTATCAGCCTGCACTAAAATAGGTGGTTAGCATTTCTGCCTAAGAGTAAGTAATTTCAATTTAATTCAGGCATACCTTTAACATTGACACATAAAGGAAATTAGAAGATTATTTCTGGAGTCTTGTTCTCAAATTTTTATGATGTATTACAGGAATAAAACTGTTCAACTATTCAGATAACTAGAATTTGCAATATTGATGCGCATAATTGAAGATACAGTGAAGTATTTCACTTTTGGAGGAATGGAACTAACTTTAAATCACATGCTGTTCTTCAGGATATGTAGCAATTGGAAAGATTTCTGTTAAAGTGATAATTAGAATGAGGTAACTCCAATTTTAACAGAGAAAAGCAGCAGGATTCAGGCTGCTTTGAGAGTACAAGGTACTCCTAGAATTATGAGGCTAAGCTCAGTATCTACTTTAGGAAAAGAAATATTACCCATGCAAGATCATAAAAATGATACATCAAAGCAGAAGCATGTGGCTGACAAATAAATTTAGAGTGTAGTCCTGGTCTAGCAGATAAACTATATTAAAATAATTCCTTCTCCAGTAATTACTGAAAGTAAGATGGAAGTGATATGTATGCCTACTAGTTTATTTGTGATGGTTTTTGTAGCAGCATTTGTTTGTATTGTACTGCAGTTTAAATGGACTGCAAGATTTCAAAACCTATAAAAAGAATTTCTAAGTCAGGGATGAGTTGAAGTGCTGTTTTTCACTTGAGCAGTGTTATCAAAGTCTTTCTGGTTTTTTGAATGTCTTGCAAGTGTTTGTACACTGCTGATTTTATGATTATTCTCTGTAATGTCTTCATTTGTCTCAGGTTGTGGATTTTCTGTCAGCTGATTAACTTTTTACACATGCGCATTAATTTTAGTATAATTTCAAGTCCTTTTTTTCTATTTTAAATGTTTCAGGTTTGATCAGAAAGTGGGGCATAAGAAAGGGGGATAGGATCTTAACTTTTTGTAAGAATCAGTGCACATCCTTGTAATTCTGGCCTCTCACCTGAGGGTTTAAAACTTGAGGTTGAGTCAAAGCCAAGTGCATCCAATCCATGAAGTCCTGCCTAAAGCCTGAAGAGAAATCAAGCTCAGCAAAAGTCACAAGTTGCTGTATTTAGGGATTTTGCTGTCTTCCATGATTTACTTTGTACCACTTACTTGAGGAAGTGAGGCTCTGCTTTAGTGGAAATCCTTTAAAGTACCTCAATGAATGTAATAATTATATATTAAATATTGCAACAGAAGCAAATAAGGACCAGGAAAATTATGTTTATTCTTTTTAAAAAAAAGATATACTTCACTTTTCAGCAAAGATGTCCAGGAAGCTAAGTTTGCCAACTGAGTTAAAGCCTGATTTAGGTAAGTTTATATAGTTGATTTTATTTTTACTGAATCTGAATGTGAGTATGTTAAAATAAGAGGGCTAAATTATGTAAGCTATTGTGACTTTATGTTGCATTTATCTGAAGTGTAGAAATAAAATTTTAATTCCACTCTTTTTGGGGACTCTCGGGCACAAAATGTCATTGCTGTCATCATAAGGTAAGCCTGCAATTCCTGTATATGGCTTATCACACTTTCATCATAATTTTTAGGTATCTGTCACTCACTTTATCAGTAGTGCTGTGATAGCAAAAGCGTGAATAAGCAGACAGCATTAGGAAAACTGCTGCTGCCTGTTTAGGACCATCTGATACACTTCAAATTGAAAAATGAAATATCTTAACAGGATATGTTGAGGAGCTCTCAACAAATAGTTGGGCATAGTTTTATAAATGTTAATTGTCTTGTGACCACTCTCTCTAAAGCAAAGCAATATACAACTGTTTGGATGGATGACCAGTCTGAGAATTTATTTTTCTTGAAAACGCACAGTAACTTTTTAACAACAGTTCAGTTGTGAGGTCTGTGGTACTAAAGGTCATTGTGTTGCCCAAAACAATGTACAAATGAGTCAGTTGGGGTTTTTTTAAAATACTTTGACTGCCAGCTGTTAGATCCAGCTCCTCTGACTTGTTCTCTAAAGATGATGGGGGACAACTGTAGACCTACAGTAATAAATGCAGCTCCCTTCTGCATGCCACAGCTTGCTCCTCTCTCTGCAGCAGAATTTCTACCACCAGCCCAGCAGAAGACAGCCAGGGTCAGATGGGAGCTGTAGCACTGTGTGTTTGCCAGGTGCTGCTGCTGTCAACCAGGGCAAAAATCTATGGCACTGGAATATTCTCAAACTGAGCTGGACCGCCCTGATTTACAGTTTGCATCTCTCAGAGAAATGTTAAGTTGGAAGCAATTCTTAGAGATTCTTTATCCAAGGATTGGCAAGGATCATTTGGCAGGGATACAGATATTTTGACAAGTTAACCTCTGATCTATTCATGAGCCTCCAATAAAAAAGTTTTTTAGAAATATACCAGACAAAGTTTCACTGTTGTGTCATCTAATTAGACAGATTTCCTGTTATTTAATCCAACTTCCTTGCTTCCATTTTAACTTTTTCTTGTCCTTTGCACAATAAACAGGGATAACACTCCCTATTTTTGTTAGTATTTTTTTTATGGTGTTGAAATCTGCCATCATATCTAATTTCATTTTTACAGAATATTTTTCTCTACAGAATTTAGTTCCTTCTTCTTTAGGTTATGTTATCTAAACCTGGGGTGGCTTCTGTTAACCTCCTTTGGAATTGGAACTTTTCCTCATCTTTCTAAGCTCAGTGTCTGGAACTAGAGCAATTTGACTGTGACCATGTCGGCACAGAAGAGCTGAAGAATCTGACGACTCTTTTCAATATGTTTCTGTTTTTTCACAATATGTTTACTAATGGTTTAGGGATAAATTTGGTATAGGATGAATTTCATATTAAACTGGAGCACGTTTAAACTTAAGTATCAACCAATTGTAATTCTGCTGTTTTACTCACAGTTCTTTGATGGCAATAATTACTTGGAAGTGTTACCTTTTCCTAATGAAGACTGGTGAAAAGTGAATGCGGAACTTTATTCAGCACTTTCCAATCTTAAAAAGAGTTACAGTGTTTTCTACATCACTTAGTATTTGCTGTTCATTCTACTGAAATAATGGAAGGGTTTTTTTGTCACATCATTTCTGATAAACTGATAAAATTGTTTGTACCTTCTGAATTTCAATAGCCTTTGACTGATTTTGACTTTGCATACATGTGAATATCTGTGCTTAGAAACCTCATTCTGGTCTGTGTAAAATTATTCTAGGTTTTCAAGTCTGTAAATCGCTTTCTTAAGCAGTTACATTTAATTTTGCTTCTATCTTTTCTTTTAGTGATATAGCTTTTGCATAGTGTTCTTCAGTGTTGGCTTGCTTATATTTTTGTCACTTATGTGGCCATGTCTATGGGCTGTAGGAGACAACTGAAATGCCTTTCTCCTAAATTCATTATCCTTATCATTGTCTCTCATTTCTTTCCATGGCTTCTTGAAACCTACTCTTTCATGATCTTGTTCTTTCAAATTAATTTTCTGTCGTTAGATCTTTAACCGACTCCTCTTCCTCTCTGAACAAATAAAATCTAAACTATGTGTTTCTGTATTTATGCTCTGCTTTCTAAAACAGAAGTTATCTTGATCATACCCTTGTCTGCATTATACCACTGCTTTTCAATGTTCTAATCCAGTGATTAAGATGCTACTGCCACTAGGTGCTATTCCTTGCTTTACTTCCTCAAAAGAGCCTCATCTTTCCATCCTTCTGGTGGTGCGTAGTGATTCATCACACTGCTGCTCCTTCCTCTGCATCAAAATCTAATCCATTTACAAACTTCTTCCTTGACTTCAGGATAAGTAGGATGCACTAAAGCAGTTAAACTTTTAACCCTCTGTTCTCTCTTCTGAATGGATTATCCACTCTCAAAAATGCCCATATGTCTGACAAGTTAGTTTTCATTGGTTTTCTCCTGTCCATTCCAATGCTTCTGGAATTTGTACACATGTTCATCAAATCAAATAGCTAGAAGACACAAATGCACATGTAAAGCTATGTTTATTGTAGTTACTGTATGATTGGTTATATTCAGACTGATTAATCCATGTTAATGTTGAAAAAAAACATTAAATTAGTAAATACTCAAGCCTGGAAAAAAACAAGCATCATAAGAGGTGGTGGTCATTAGAAGACTTATAAAAACAAATTATAATTTTCATTGTTTTACACTGGATTTATTGTTTTTAATGTGAAAACTTAGTATGTCAACATCTGATTGAGTTAGTTCCTATAATCCATGTTTTATATTTGACAGCTAAAATTCAACAGGACGATGGTTTTTTTCTATCCTTGTTGGAATGAGGCAATTCCTCAGAAGATTCACTGTTTGTGTTAAGTAGATGTGTGTATTTAGTCAGTTGAAATCTAGTATGTATGCTTTCCAAATGCATGTTAGATATTCTTTGTATAAAGTTTTTCAATAATTTAATGAAACTAACGTAGTAGTAATTCCAAATAGTACATGGTTGAATGTTGTTCTTTAGATCTTAACCCTGCTTTAAAATGTCAGTTGGTTAAATTGGTTAAATTGTCAATCTATACCCTACTCAAAAGATTTTTTGAGTTATTTTTTTCAAAAGCATAATATAAATTGCATCCAACTTTTGCTGGTGAGGGCTGTCTTCTGCTATGACTTTGCAATTATGAAATAAGAAAGTACAGCATTAATTTGTGAATGCATAGATAAATTCAGTGTCTGCTGATGTATCAGCCACACCTACAGATAGCATACAGCAAGAGTGGAGCAGCACATTTACTTTTGTTAACATTAGAATTCACTTGTTGCTAAACAGTGAGCAAGACATCCGGAAGGGCTTTAGTGCTATTACTGGCACTATGCTACAGCATTCCCAGTAGAAATCTTCAGTTTTGCATAGCAGTACCAGATGGCATTTGGTAGCGTTTGTTTTTCTCTTACTAAAAGTTTGGGGGTGTGTAAATAGCCTGTTAGATCTCCTGCACACAGTTTCCTAAAGTTGAGCAATATTCTGAAATCTTCAGTTTTGCATAGCAGTACCAGATGGCATTTGGTAGCGTTTGTTTTTCTCTTACTAAGTTTGGGGGTGTGTAAATAGCCTGTGTGTAAATCTCCTGCACACAGTTTCCTAAAGTGGAGCAATATTCCGAGTCATTACAGGTTCCGTGCTATCATGCTGTGCAGATGTCACTGCATTTCCTATAGTAAAATAGTTGTATCTTCCTAAGATTGGTTAACTGTGTTCTATGGGAGCCAACATTTTTTCATCTGCCCAGTGAAGTAAATTGGCAGAGAGGTTTTAAAGGAGTACCACTTGATGACTGTTATTCTCTGGCTCTAGATGACAGAAATATGCCTTCAAATTGTCCATGATAATTACCTAATGGCAGCCTCTGCAACAAATATTGGGTGCTTTGCTCAAGAAACAGCTGGAAATTGGGGAATAAGGAGATATGACTTATGAAGGATAGGGGTACAAAAATCAACAGCATTATAGTTAGTAAACAGTTGATGCTAAAGAACAACAAAAAAAATTAAATTCTCTTAATCCCTCCAATTTGCCATTCTTTTTAATTAATACCGATTTATTTTCAGATGTCAAAGACAACTCTTTCAGTCGATCCCGGAGTTCTAGTGTAACTAGCATTGATAAAGAGTCACGCGAGGCAATTTCAGCTCTTCATTTTTGTGAGACTTTCACAAGAAAGGCTGATACATCGCCTTCCCCATGCCTGTGGGTTGGGACCACACTGGGTACAGTGCTTGTCATTGCACTGAACTTACCCCCAGGAGGAGAGCAAAGACTTCTTCAGCCAGTAATCGTTTCTCCTAGTGGTATGTACAAAGCAGACAGGGTAAAGTACACTTTGATGAAGTATTGTTGTCGTTCTTCATATTTTTTAAGAAACTTGGGATTTGGGGTTTTCTTTTCAGTGATTGATTAATTTAAAATATATATTGCACTGATTTAGCTGATAAGTTTAACAAGCTAGTCTGGTTACTTTGTTACCAGAGTTTCTCAAATTGGAAAAGTATAAAGTACAATTTCATAAAATAAAAAATATAACTTCAGTGTTTACTTGCTGAGAAAGAATTTATCGCTGTTAAACAGAGATAGCAGAAGACATGAATATTATCAAATGCTCAGTTTATTACTGTTTTTTTAGTCATGAGGTAAGAGTCAATCAGTTTTCCTGCAGTGAAAAAAGGGAGTGCAAACTGAGGCGGTAAATTGAACAACTAGCTGGAAATATTAGTGATAAATAAATTATTTTTGATTGCTGGGAAAGGTTTTGGATCTTATTCTGATGCACAGCAGCTGATTTTGTTGTGATTATGTATTAATGGTTTATTGGATAGACTGTTAGTCAGAGATTTGGCTTTCCTGCTACCACTGTCTCATGCAGAACAGGCTGCTCTAGTCCATTTTGCTACACAGATGGTATCAAACGTACAAATTGCCATGCCATTTGATTTTAGGAATGATGAGGAGTGGATATCTAGACCATATATGAGATTTTTGCCCATTGAGTGAGGGATTGGCAGCAGTGGTCAGATTTGGTAACATTTGGTTAATAAAGGCAATGCTGCAGGCTAGGCAGTTGTTTCCCCTTTGGATCTGCAGCATAATCCTTAAAAGATATTGCTTTATATTTTGGATTTAGCAAATGTTCATGTTACTTATGTGTGAATGAATTAAAGTAAAATAAAATTTATTTGCTTAAGGTCTGGCCTACAGAGACAGTGATTTGAACAGTAAGGAGGGAAAACTTTTTCATTTCAAGCTAGAGAAGTGCATTCAAGTGTGAACTGCAGGGGAGAAATAAAAAAAATTCACATGCTTGTCTCTAAACCAATTGAAAGAAAAGGTGGTCTCACTTTGACTAATACATTTATTGTTGATATTAAATATACTGTGTACTCATCAGGAGAGAATTAAGTGAGTTGCATTTGTGACACTGAACATAAATACAGATACATTTCCCTTGAAGTTATTGAAAGAGTATGTACCCACTTTACCCTTGAAAATTGGTTTAACATTTTCCTGGTTACATTTGTCCTTCATTGGTTTTTTGATTAATGCCCAAGGTTTGTGTACATCTGTTTGGCTAGGAAGGCAAACTGAAGTTCTTGTTTTCTTTTAATTCTCCTAGCTTCTTAAAGGAATGTTTTGTAGCTTGGAAAGCAATTTAGGAGAACTGTTTTAGAAACGTGCTCAACTACTCTTTCCTAGGAACCATCCTGAGGCTAAAAGGGGCAATCTTGAGAATGGCTTTTTTGGACACCACAGGATCTTTGGTCCCACCAGCACATGAAACCTGGAGAGAACACTATGAAGATAAAGATGAAAAAGAAAAAGCAAAAAAGCGACGACCTGTCTCAGTGTCCCCTTCTTCCTCTCAGGAAATCAGTGAAAACCAATATGCAGTGATATGTTCTGAAAAGCAAGCAAAAGTTATCTCACTGCCATCCCAGAACTGTATTTATAAGCAAAATATAACAGAGACTTCTTTTGTTCTTCGTGGAGACATAGTGTCGTTGAGTAACAGTATCTGCCTTGCATGTTTTTGTGCCAATGGACATATTATGACTTTTAGGTAAGACCTGTTTGATAGTAACTTAAATACAAAAAGAAATAGTCCTCTGCTACAAAGAAAGGTTCCTTTTCCACAGGATGATGATTTTTTTAAAAATTACATTCACTCAGTGTTGGTGATTCTCTAATACTTGAGCCTGAATAATTTTGATTGCACATTCCTGTTAGTTATGTCTTTAACACATGAAAAAGTTTATCACTTTAACTCAAGCTACACTTATTCAACACATAGTTCCAAACAGGTGATATAGGTCCATGACTCCAGGTTTGTCTAAAAGCTGAATTTACTTCCTGATGGAGAAAACTGCCTTGAGTCAGACCTTTAGCTTGCACCTGACCAGAACTCTGCCTGTTTTTGTGCAGGTGTTTGCATCACACTCATGCCTCAATATTTTCTTGTGTAGCTTGCTTGTGCCTTAAAGGCTTAAACTCACTCTGTGAAGGCAAGATTAACTGCCAGTTGTATAGTAATAAGTCATCTAAAGTAAGGGATTTATGTTATTAGTTTAAACATGTGTTGTAGTAGTAGTAGTGTTTAAATATACTTACAGGTCACCTGTGTAATTTTCATCTCCTTAATCTTAAATGTTTTGATGTGCTATTTTATTCTGAACCATCAGTGTGTATATACTTACACCCTTGCACCTGCAGTTTAGTTGTGGCCTGATAAGATGAATGTGTAATGTGTGGCCCTATGAAATTATGCCAGTAAAGTTCCTAAAAGATTATTTTAAGGTTGCCAAAAGAAGCTTTCAGCTTGGAAAATTCTGTAAAAATTATTTGTTTAGGAAGTTGTTAGGAGAAAAACTAAAACTGATACAATCTAAACTTGTTTTTTAATTGTAGTATGTAAGTCTGTAACTTGGTGTATATCCCATCTTTTATGTGTTCTAAACATCTCTAAAAAATGCTGCTCACCTTGCAAGGCAAACTTTTTTTTTTCCTAATTAAAACTGAACGTAGTAATGTTCAGATACCATATATTGAAACAAATCCTGTCTTCTTCAGGGTTCACATTGTTCTCTGCATATGCGGTAAATTATAAATGCTGATTTGTTACCTTGTGTGGGGAAGTTGGATTCCAATGCTGAGCTCCATTTCGTAAGCATGAATTGCTGCTGGGGATGGACATTATGTGCAGCTCATGTAAAGTTCTCAGAGCACTGTACTGTACACAAGGTGCTCAATACTTAACTACTGATATACATTCAGATAGGACTTAGTAACAAACAAATCTGTAACAGAAATTATGAAAATGCTCTCATGGATATCATGCTTGTTCTATGTGATCTAATGTTTTTGTGTTTTGAAGTTGTAAGAATGATTTGTGCTCCCATTGATCTGAAGCAAAACACTTCCCTGTTACTGACTCTTAGCAATATTCTTATTTTAGATACATGCATGGCAGAGGTGTCATATCTGGGTGACATGCTTACAAAAGAATATGGCTTTTTATTTCTCACTTTTGAAACTTGCCTCCAAAGGCAATGTCAACATCATGCAAGAAAAAGAAAAAAAAAACAAAACAAGGCAGCCTGATACTGTTGTGGTTACTACATCTTTTTTTTTTGTTTTGTTTTAATTTCAGTTTTCCCCATTGGCTGCTTCTGTAGTGTCTAGAATTAATAACGTTATGTGGATTGTGTCTGCAGCAGAAGCTGTTCATTGTATTATTGGGACATTGGCAGCTAACAACTTTTGTAATTTTTTTAGAAGAACTTTGCAGGGGATGTTTGAGACAGTGGTTTATTATGGGTTCTACTTGTCAGAAAATTAGGTGGTTTGCCCCTTGCATTTATTATCTCACTGAGGGAGAGGAATGTTTGGTAGTGGAATATTGTTCTCGCCCAAGTGTGCAGTCTGTTCTTCAGTAGATTGATACAGTAAGTTCTGCAGTTACATGTATAGAATCAGAAAATACAAGGTAAGCAAACTTTGCTCTAAGAGGACTTTCTCTTCAACATCTACTCAGAGAAAAAAGGGGCATTTAATTCATAAGATTGTTTGAGGCTACTGTACTCTGCTTTTCTTTGACAGCACACTTATGTTATATTTCTAAATTTTCTTGAGAAGAGATCTTTTACACTTGTATTTTTAGTCAAGGAGAAATTATTAATTTGAGAGAAGAGTTTAGTTATAAACTGTTGGTAGATACTTATCAAAATACCTTGGTAATTATTAAGTAATACCTAGTTCATTAAATACTGAATTTGTGATACACATGCTCAGATTATAATTTCAAAGAATTATTTTCAATACATCTGTGATGCAGATGTTTAAATTTCACTTTTGAGGTGCTAGCTTGAAAAATCTGATGTCGTATTTTCAATACATCTGTGATGCAGATGTTTAAATTTCACTTTGAGGTGCTACCTTGAAAAATTGATGTCTTGAGATTCTGTAATGTCATTAAATGATACCTGCTTATTTGGTGTCATGCAGATGGTGAAGAGAAATTATGTATTACAGTTTAAAAATCAGTAATTTGATCAATAAGAGACATTTCTGCTATACTTAATGGGGTTTTAATTCTTTTCCTTAAGTTTGCCAAGTTTAAGGCCATTGTTGGATGTATATTACCTGCCACTCACCAATATGCGGATAGCCAGAACGTTCTGCTTCACTGATAATGGACAAGCACTCTATCTTGTCTCACCAACTGAAATACAGAGGCTCACCTACAGCCAAGAAACATGTGAAAATCTTCAGGTAATTAACTCTTTTTGAAAAATCACTTTTTTCTTAGATACATTCTGAGCTGAGCATTTAGGCTTTTGTGCTTTGAATTTCGTTTTTTCCCTTTTGTTTTTCTTCATTGTAGAGTCTGATTCTAAATGAATCACTTCTACCTTAAATTTTTGTTTCATCCATCCTATTGTAGCTGAATCAGTTTCTTGCTTAATTCCATTTTGATCAACAGGAAATTTCCTCCTTTAACATGCAGTTAAAATTCCCTTGATCAGTTCACACTGAGGGAGGTGTCTGCTGACACAAGTGGAGAATGCCAACTCAGGATATTTGAAGGAAGCTATTATGTTTCAGGGGTATTAACAGCTTGAAAAATTCCCAGTCATGCTTCAGGTTGGTTAGTTGTATAGAATAATGCAATAGCAGAGTTGCAGGCTCTTCTTTCATACTGCTACATGGATATAAGTGTTTGTAGATGCAGTTTCAATAGAACCAAGTCAGAAGTCTTGCCCGAGTTGTAGAGGGGCAAATAAGCTTTACTTGAATGCATTTCTTTGCTTCTGAATTCCATGAGCTCTAAGTTTGCAACCGTCAAAAGCAGATGGTTTGGACAAATTTCTTAATATATTTTTGTTTTTCTATTTCCTACATCACCTTGCAAAGACAGATGCCCATTAAAGCATGTTTCTTCTGAAATTAAAATCCATTAAACAAATCCTGAAAATGAAAGAATATTCCATTATTTTTAATAATTTATGCCTTGTTATGTCTCTTTTTCATTGCAAAGGAAATGTTGGGTGAGCTCTTCACTCTTGTAGAAACACCAGAAGCACCAAACAGGGGGTTCTTCAAAGGCCTGTTCGGAGGTGGGGCACAGTCACTTGACAGAGAAGAACTCTGTAAGTTATTATTAATTGTTATTTTTCTGGTATTTCTTCCTAAGGAAGGTAGTGATTCATAGTAAATGTGTTCATAGAACATTACCTTTATGAAGAGGAGACTAAAATAGGGAGTGACAAATATTTTTTCCATAGATTTTGTGTTGTACACCTTACCAACAAGATCAGAAAAGCTTGGTATGTTTTTTTCACAGGTTCTTTTAGCTCATTTATTCAGCAATATTTTTTCCATAGATTTTGTGTTGTACACCTTACCAACAAGATCAGAAAAGCTTGGCATGTTTTTTTTCACAGGTTCTTTTAGTTCATTTATTCAGTAGTAGATGAGTTTTGTTTTATAACATTTTGGTTTTGTTTTATAACCATTTCTTGTTTTATAACCTTATTTTTATTCATCTTTATGAAGCGTGTAGTACTGACCATGATTCTATTTATGCTGGTAAACTGAAAGGCACTGCTTTTGGAGAATTCTCTTCTGCACAGTGAGAAAATTAAAATTTCACTCTACTTCAGTTATTTGCCAGATTTTCCTTGTTTTGCTTATGCAGACATGCCTTAGAAATGACAGCAAGGGCAGAACTGTATGATATTTCAATTCAGTCCTCTATTTATAGGACATTAAAATTCAGATTTGACAAAATTTTCATTGCTTTATAATTTTCTCTTTTTTATTACATTTTTTTTACTGTGGTGGCATTAAGCACTTTAATATATTTAAGGAAAATAGCTTCCATTTATTTATTTAGATATTTGCTAAATGCAACACCATATTATGCAAGCTTCTTTTTAAGAACCTTTTTCTTATTAATGTGAAATGTATCTGTCAAAATGGACAAGGTGCCCTGCCAATCCTTTCTTTTATGGTGGTTCTTTTGATCTCTACAGAATAAAAATTAGACTTCATTACTTGTGCCTGTACACTTTGAGCAACTATCAGATATTTAGAGGTCACATTTTGTGTCAAAGGTTTCTTTTTTGGGTGTTCTTATATACACATATGTGTATATACACATATGTAATACTATGAAAGGTTGGTCAAGTATTTCAGTAGAGAAATTTATGTGCACAAGTTATAATCTAGTATGACTGAGACAGGGGGGAAAGTACTGTGTAGCTTTAGAAGCTATCTCTTTATATCGTCTCAAGTTTCTACCATTAAGTTTTGGCTTGGATCTTTAGAAGGAAAATAGTATTGAATGGAAGAAAAAAATCCTAATGAATGAAAAAAAGCCTGAGAGAGACTTCAATGACAATTCAAAAGACATTTGAGAATATCTTTAAAGTAAACATATTTACCATGAGGGTCACAGCAGAATCTGTAATAAGTGAAATTATTTCTCTTATTTTGCAAATTCACAGAAAGATGTTTATGGTACTAATTTAAATGTAAATTATTCCTAATAGAAGCATAAAATCAAATCAGAGAGTCTTGAAATACTGCATCAAAATGTATTTAACCAGTTAATATTATTTTTCCTGGAGGTAAAAAAAAGGAAAATATTCAAGCAATATTTCACTGTTTAAAACAAATATTCAGATTTCAGTGTCTATACAATTCTGCTTGAGACTGGCACATCAAGTGTCTAGATTGAACTGGGTGACTGATGTGCCATTAAGAGCAAAGTCAGTGTAGTCAGTGCCATCACTGGAGTCTGGAGCTCTTCAGCTGACCATTTGTGCTGATTTGTTCTTACAGCCATACTGTCTTTTTACATTCCTTTTCAATTTTTTTTCTTTTTTGTAAGGTTTTTAAATAATGGCAGCACTGACCCCTAATCTTCAGGTGTCTGCATATAAAATTGAACTTCTATCAAAAAAAACTTCTGCTGGTGGACTCACGCTGGCTGGCTTACATACCATCAAAGCACTTCCAGAACTAACCACAACTTTTCAGTATTTCAATACCCTGCTTTGTCTGTTGAAGTCAAAACCATTCCTCATGAAATAACCTATATTGTACTGGTGAAGTGTTTTTTTAACAATTCTATTGATGAACATCAGAATTTTAATTTCACACTTGAGCTGTGAAGAGCTTACAGTTGTATAACCTACCTGGAAACCTGAAAATATATTTGAATGTCTCCGTTCCAATGCAAAAGCATCTACTAATATAGAGTAGTGAGTGTTCCTCATAGTCATACCTACAGTAAGCTGTTTGGTCTCCATGCAAAGAAATTACATCTCTATATAAACTAGTTTCAGTGATATTTATGTCACAATGACAGGAAAACTTACTATTCTGTATTTTCTGCTTTTGCAAATGCCTCCAGTTGGAGAATCAGCATCTGGGAAGGCATCAAGGAGTCTTGCCCAGCATATTCCAGGACCTGGGGGTATCGAAGGTGTCAAAGGAGCAGCATCTGGTGTAGTTGGTGAACTGGCACGAGCCCGGTTGGCACTGGATGAAAGAGGACAGAAGCTGGGAGAACTGGAAGAAAAAACTGCAGCTATGCTTTACAGTGCTGATTCTTTCTCAAAACACGCTCACGAGGTGAGTATATTAAACTGATTGTCAGACAAATGCAAATTCTGCAAGTGACTGAGTTCTGCCAAAGGCATGTTAGAGGTATCTAAAGGGTATGGAGTGTCATTGATAGAGGACACTTCCCTTTCATCCATCACTTGGCACTCCTACCAATGACATACTCATTGTAAACAGCCTTGTCTTGTGGCACATTGCTCTAGAGCATGCAGTCTGCTGGAGTGGCATGTAAGCTTCTAAATGTGCAACTTAATCCTCATTACTGAAAAAATTACTTATTGTCACTGAATTAATAAGAAGAGTAATGTTTGATGTCAGATTCCTGCTGTCCTTAAGAAAGATCCTCTTGTATACAAACCCTCTGAGTACAACTTCTTTTTTTTCCTCAGTGACTACCACAGAATGCTATTCTCATCCATTTTCATGCTGACTTATTTCCACATCCCAAATTCCTGTGCAACCTCCCCATTCTCCCAAAAATGTCTTTTTCTGAGGCTAGCTCACCAGCAATGACGCTAACATTAGAAAATTCATCATGCTAAACACTCAGTGTTCAGCGATGTGTTTGCAACTTTGAGAAGCCTTGCTAAATCCTTCTTTCTCATGCTGCTTTGTAAAGCATAGTGTTTGTTGGTGTCATTGTACATTTTGGTACATTACAGAAACAGTAATTAGAAATTTTTTTTTGTTTTTTAGATGATGTTGAAGTACAAAGACAAGAAGTGGTACCAATTCTGATGACTCTCATCAACCACATCTTTAATTTTGTCCTGATGAAAAAATCTTGTTTTTTCATTACTTTTGGCAGGACCACTGAAATTTAAAGGAGTATTCACCATTGGATACTGTTGTTTCCTAGCACAAATGACACACTGTTTTACCTCAGTCCTGGCTTTAACTGAGGAGCTTTATATCTAAGAAACACACACAAAAAAAGAAACTTGAGTGTTTCTTAGCTGTTGGTTAGCATAAAGTTGGAACAGAGAAGGTAGCTGGAACATGTGGAAAAGAGAGTAAAAGGAAATCGTGGTGAGATGGGCAGGGGCAATGCAGGGTCAATCCTGTGTTAATATTTCATATGCCAAAAGTTTTTGTGCTATTGTAATTGCTGCCAGTGTTATACCCTCCTGTAAGGAGAGGCAATAAATCAGGGGTCCAAGAGCTGGAATCAAGCTGTTTGTCTTGCTGGACAGTAGCTGACTTACAATTACCCTCTCTAGGACTCTGTATTTACCATTATTGTTGAAGAAGAGCTGAAGTTTCCTGTCACTTCATTCATTTTAAAAGCTGGAAGCTTGGAAGATTTCTTATTGAAAATTGTATACATAGTTGACCTGTGCATAGTCTTTTCTTGGACCCCTGATCTAGTATTCTTGTATTCACATCATATTGTGTGACGTGCAAAACAAAAGAATACGTAATTTTTGCATTAAAAAGTCAAGTGAATAATATGACTGGAATGTGTCATGCTGGGAGTTTTCGTTTGTGTTATGGCCGTGCAATGTGAAATGTGGTAACATCTTCCTTGTGGTAAGAATTCTTCAACTTCTGTTCAGTTAAATATTATTTTTGCCAAAAATAGTTATTGGTTCAGGTTGTGTAACATTTAGAATTGGCTGTGGGTTCCATTCACGCTGTGAGTTTTTATAAATGTTTAACAGAATGTATCTTTACAGCCATTAATTGAAATAGTTGGGATAGTTTTGCTCAAGACTCAAGTTCTAGATGCCCCTTTAGTCCTTTACTATGAAATCAGATAACCTTGGACTCAGGTTTTCAAACTTTTACATACCATGGAGGTGCTGATGCATGAATAATGGCAAGCAAGCATCTAATACTTAATAATTGTCAGTATGTTGTTTAGCAAATCTCTAGGTTCTGCCAGTAGTGCTATTTTACAAGTACCTGTCTCAGCCCCATGCAGCACTAAAGGCACTTGTCCTAAAGTTTGGACTCAATCTCTAAAGCAGTGTTTTCATTGTAAGCAGTGATAAAGTGTGCATAAAAACTTTAGGAATTGCTGAACTAATGTTCTGTTTGGGAGAGGTAAATAATACAGCTGAGCTAACTTGTTAATGGCTACTGCACCAAAGCTATAGCAGCGTGAATGACCAGGGCTCTTTTTAAAAGACAGAATTCCTTAAAATAAATGCTTGCATTTCAAAAATTCCTTTAAACTTTTTTCTCAAAGTAGGAATAGTTATTGACTGGTTTTGTTTCATAAAAGGGAGTACTTAGAAGCTGATAGGTCTACATTGTCTGAAATTAATCACTTAGGTTTGCTTCTCCAAGCATTGCATTTTGTGTACTTTTTTCCACAAACTTTCTGAATGTTCCCAAAGCAAAACCTTGGTTATGTTTGTGTTGTGAAGTGATGTTGCAGGTACACAGATAAGGCAACCTTACAAAACACCTCAAGCATGTAAAATATTGAAGTTACTTATGGTTCTTAAATTACTTTTCAAATGACAGGCAAATATGTTTGGGCTTTGAAACACAAACTGATAAATTTTCTCACTTTAGGTAGAGCAACATTTTAAAAAGACAATTTAATTGTGTTGCCAGTAAAAGGGCATGCCCTACTATGCCCATTGCTCAAAGGACTTAAAAAATGAGAATGTGACAATTCAAACAAGCAGTATTATGATTTCCTGATAGTTGTGTCCCATAGCTACTGAGGCGATGTTTACTTGAGTTACTTAACTCAGTTTGCCATGCAATATTTGCCTCTGCATGTTGATTTATTTTTAGTGTCTAATTAATGCCTATTTAGCACCATTTTGTGAGACATCCAGGTAGAAGAAAATGAGAGAAACCACTACCCATACCACATCCAAAAAAATCCCACCCTAGCTGATACTTGTCCTCTTCCTTGTCTCACATTTATAAATTGAGTTGACTCATTATTATTTGACCTGCTGAAGGTAAAGTACATTTCATTGCAACAGAATCCTGGGAAATTAATCTGGTCAGGCTCAGGGGGAGAGGATTACAAAAGTATTCTTCAACAAATTATGGTATCATTCAATGTAAGATGACCTTGGCTTGAAAGGAAAACATACTTAACTTTCTCATCAAGATGCATTTGACAACCACCAGCAAGCAAAATAATAAGAGGCAATGAGAGACCATCTGGCAGTACCAGAAGAGTAGTGGCTTATTTGGTATTACAGAATCTATTGTAGTTGAATCTCTTCTGTTGCTTATGTTCAGGGACAGGAAGACTAATGACATGGTTGCTCATGAGATAATGACACAAATGGTTCTTGGTCAATAAAAGGGGCTATGTAAAATTTTAATCTAAAATGTTACTTTTTCCTTCCCAGTGGAAGGAAAGCAATCACACACACATCACTGCATTTTATTGTGCTGTTGGTGGTGCACCTTTTGTACAGCAAAGTGTATTGAAATCCTTGCAGGGAAGCACCCCTATTTTTTTCAATAGCATTTTAGTTCTGTGACATTTTTTAGAGTGTCTGGAAAACTATAAAATACAATTGAGCTATTATTTTTTTTTAATGAAAGTAAGAAACTACCTGCTGCTACCTATCTGTTAATATGTAGTGTGTCTCATTAGGAACTGTAAACTGAAGAAGCTTTTCTTCACCTTAGTCCTGCCAAATCGTAACTTTTGAATCCTGGTATGTGTAAATATGTGTGTATTCCAAATCAGTCTGAAAGTGTCACACCACAGGCATCTCCAGTGATTTGTTCTTCAGCAAACAGTCAGTTATAAAGTAGAGTAATGTATAGTTGTGTTCCTTGTCTGTCTTTATGCAAAGTTTTTGTGCCTGAGGTGGTACTTGCATGGCAGGTGATTGGAAAGCTACGTCCAAAGGAGGATTTTTGGAAGCAAGTTCATTTTCTTTTTTTTTTCCTTTTAGTTTTCCTTTTATTTTCCTTTCTATGTTTTGGGTTTTTTTTAATTTGGTTTGGTTTTGGTGGTGTTTTGGTTTGGGTTTGGTTTTGGTTTGTTTTTTTGTTTTTTTTTTTTGAGGGGTGGGAATTTTTGTTTGGTTGTTTTTGTTGGGTTTTTTTTTTTTTTTTTTTTTGCTTAATTAATGGCACTGATCTTACCTGAACTTTTAAACTTGAATTTTTCCTGCACTTTAATTCAATCATGGTATTTTATTCCTTAATTTTGTTTCTGCATTTGTGCAGTTCAGGTTCATTATTTGTATATAAACACACATGTTCAATAAAGACTTTAGAACAGATTACTTTCAGGCACCTTTGCTAATTATGTGATTTATTTAGAATGTGTGTTTTCTTAGCAAAATATGTATATACAATATAGAATCTAATGAAAGGCACGTATTCTGTGTCAGCATTCAGTTTATAAATTACTGCAACACTTTCGCATTTGTTACTAGATAATACAAATGAAATCTGTTATATTTATACATACTGCTTAAGAATATACTTTTAGTTTTAAATAATTTTTATATGTACACTTCTACCTTTAATTTTAAAAAGACTTACGTTCAAGTTTTAAGTCAAAGTACTTAAAGTATGTATATTATCCATAGAAGTTGTTTTAAGCTTATGAATACATTCATATCTCATATCGAGATGATACAATTTCTAAGCAACTAAAACAAATAGCCCATTTTGCTTTGCAGAAAATGATCAGTTATTTTTACCTCCCATTATGAACATCCTTGAACAATTCTCCAAGTGTGGAGCAAGAAGATAGGGAACTAGCCTAATATTCAAGTTTTCTTAATAGCTGCAGTCCATGGCTGACTGGTTTTCTATGGTTTGGGGTTTTTTCTGGTACACGAGTGACTTTTTTCAGCTCTATTTCTTGGATTTTTAAAATTCTCCAAAACTGAAGTGAGGTATGTCCAATAAACATTTTCTTTGAGTAATCCGTGTATTTTGATTATACATCAGCTCTTTACATGTAAATCAGGGTTGGTTTTTATGTGGGTTTGTTTTGTTGGGGTTTTTTTGTGTCTGAAACGTGTTGGAAAACTTAGAGTCTGTGGCTGAAGTGCCCACTACTTTCTGCTTGTAGTTTAACACATCTGGGCAGGCACTGACTGCAGACAGTCTGGTGTGGGAGGGAGGGACTGCAGTGCCTTGCCTCCCTCTCCAGGTGGAAGGGCAACTTGTCACTTGAATCTTCTCTTGTGCCAGGCAATTTCCTGGGTAATTGATTTGAGTCTTTTTGGGTGGATGTTGATAGCTTTGCTGCTACCACAAAATCTTCAAATACTCTGTAGACAGAAATTAATGATGCTTGAGGGGTGGAAGTGAACAGAATCAGGGGGGAAAAGAGTGTAATGTAGGTGAATCAGTTAAACCAATTTTACTTCAGTTTTCATTGAAAATCTGACCTGGGCCGATTTCTTCTTCTTAAGCCCATTATAAAGATGTGCTATATATCTGCCTTATTACTGTTTCAAATCCGATGAGTGTGCTGTTTCTGGGTTCTTTTCCACCTTATAAAGTTTAGATTTAAAGATGCAGGCATTAATTTTTTAAAAGTGGAAAAAAGGAAGAAGATAAATGAGGCAGAAAGACCAAACAATCAAATGGAAGATGTCAGTCAGTATTTCTTTTAGTAGTTCCATGTGCACCTAGAAACATTTAAGCTAACCTACAGCTGTAGGTTACTTTGGCACTTGTATTTTTCTGTTAGTTCCTAAGTTCCATATCACCAGGCAAATAACCAGAAGTTAAACTGTTTCAGTTGTAAACATGTAAGAAGTTGTATGTGGATTACCACTACCATTCAGTCATAGGTGATGGAAAGGGAGAGGGGTGGGAACATGTTTTAAATATTCCCTTTTAAAACAGAATTGTAAATAAGCAGTACTGTGTTATTTTAGACCTGAGCTCTGCTATCTGTAGTGGTTAGAACTAGGAAAACATGCTGCTTTCTAGTTATGCTGCTGTTTCATTGTACCAGCACCATGGGGGGAAAAAAATACATCCGTAAATTTTTCTAACATTGCCCACTCCTGGGTAAGCATGCTTGATGTGTAGCAGTTCTCGTTTCTGTATATGTTAGTGTGTACATGTGTGTTTTCTTTTTCCCTTATGTTCATTGCAACTTCTTCTTCAGTTAAGTCTTGCTGAGCCCCACTAGCTCTTCTGAGGATGATTACTGGAATATGCATTTTTAGGTAGGGTTGCAAATCCATCTGTCTACAAATATAGTTTCATATGAACTGCAAACTGTACTGTTACAAACTCAACTATGTTAGATTGCATAGAGTTATTTTACTTACATGTACTTGGACTGAACTATGTCATCATAATGAAGTAAAAAAAATTAAGTATGGAATATTTTTGTAAATAAAAATACCTGTGCAGCTGGTATTTTAAATTTAAAATGTATTATACATTAATGTTTCAGAAAAAAATGTTCATATATGTGTATATGAATGTGTCATTATGCTGAAGGGCTCTTGATTGGGCAAAATAAACTATTCAAATCTCTCCT